AGGACCAAACGGTTTCAAATTTCCAGTACACAATGATATATTTTTGGAGATATAATTTTAAGATGTAGCCTATATAGTATAAGATGAAATTTTCACGGATTAATAATCGGAGAAACGCCAGATGGATGGCTGTTACTTTTATTTTTGTCAGATATTCTCTGAAACATATGGGTTAATATTTCACACGAATATTATATTTTCGCGCATGGGACACCGTCAGTCCGGAATCTTTTTGACAAACTTGATGTTCACTGCCCAGTTAGGCACTACTAGAACCGTTGTGATGTGAGACTTGATTCGTGAATTTGAGCTTTGCTCTTTCTTTTGAAGAGAACATATGAGAAACAACATAAGAATGTGGCTTAGCTTAGAGCACAATTTAAGTCATGCTTGAATTAAACCACTGATCAACCCCTGATGTTTTCCCACGACAAGAAAATTTTTGTGTACTCGAAAAAAAATGTTAATTTTCATTTTTTTTCGCTGTGAGTGCGATTGACCGTTCATCTTGTTCTATTTCCAATCAGTTTGGCTCAGCTTTTCGTTAAAGGGAGAGTGTCTCCAATAGACCTTATTCATTAAAAACCCATCCTACGCGCAAAAAATAAAGTGATGTAAAAAAATTTTTTTTTAACATTAGCTCTTATGGGAAATGTGATCACCAGATCAGAAATTTGCATTTTTTGTAATTTTCCAGATATCTTTCATTGTATACGTGAGCAGTTTTGAGGATAAAAAATTTTTTACATCTTTTTTGGTATTTTTATCATGATAAACATGGTCAAGATTTTTGATAATCGTTCATTAAAATTTTAATGAGCGCGGTGTTTCCGATGACGTCATTCTCACTAGACCATGAGATTCTGCCAACGCGCCATGCTCTGTGGGATGGATATGCGCTGCAAATGCGGCCCTAATGTCGCTTTGGGTCCGTGTCCGTCCGGTACTGAAAGCGTTTAACATTGACAATCTATAACCCGTACCATTTCTATCACGTTTGTTTACTGGTTTTACGCATTTATACCTGTACAGCTAGCAATCATTTACTGAAGGCATGCTGAGTTGTTATTTAAACTACCGGTACCGTACCAAGGCTGCAAGAGGTGAAAACTAAATTATTTAGTAAATACTGAAATAGGCCTACGAACAAAAATGTTGGCCATCTTGCCAATAGGCAGGACAAGTTGTACGGTACCGGTATACAAAAAAGATGAATATCTCCAACCTATAATGGTACAATACCGGTCTCGTAACTAGGTTAAAAAACCTGACTGAATACGAGAGGGAGATTTATTTTGTCAGCCAGAATACAAGCATTCAATCAATAAAAATCATATACAAAACACACAGTTATTCGGTATAGACTGGGGAGCGATACGAACATCACAGTCAGCTTCCCCTGCCCGTGTGTTTGCTATCAAGATTAACAGTTAATTAAGATATTTTAACAAAAACTCCTCGGAGGAAGGGTTGACTAGGTTACGGAATATTTTTGGATTCGGTTAAAAATGTAGTCCATTATTGAACACTGCTTTTTTTGGAGATTTTCACTTAGTGGACACTTAGCAAGGACGACAGTTAATTTATAAAAAAAATTGTAAATTAATAACAAATCAGTAGAAGTCAGCTCGGGTATTCAAACATGTGATGATTGAAGTGAGAAAAAATTAAAGTCACGTTTAGGATATTTCATTAAACAACAATGAAAAAGGGACGTTGGAATCAGTCAAGCTTCAAATGCTAATGACATTAATGAAAAAAATATGCGAAATGAAGACTGAAGTTTCCATCTGAGACATTGGAAGGCGCTAAAACCTCATAGACTTGATAGTGTGGAAAGCCTTCTCACAATGCAGTAATAATGGGACATATATTTATAATATCATTATACATGCTTTAAGTTGAACTATATGTTTAACTAAAATATCTATCTTTGCTAATAAATGCTGAAAACCATTTATTTCAATCTGCTGAGTGATTAGGGCCAGAAATTTGCTGTAGGGACCATCACCAGGACTGGATTTACAGCCATTATTGCGTCTTTGCATCATAATAAGGGAAATTATTATTATGCGCATTCTGCTGGAAGTTAATATGTTAAAGTATGGCTGTAGCGGTTGTTTGATCAAAGAAATTGAAAGCAAAACTTCCTCAAGTAAATTATCATTCTTTTAATTAAAAATTCACACCCATGAATGGGGAGAATGAAAAGTTTAGTTGTTTTCATATTTTTAAATTTTAAGCAATTAAATGTGGTGTTGTTTAGAGAGAAATTCTGAGCTCAAAAATATGAAGAGGCGGTCTAAATCCAGCCCTGAACATCACCAATTTTGGGATAGGTACCGTCAACATATGAACTGAGTTAGGCCATTGGATTTTGAAAGGTGTACCAGAAATGTACATGGAATTCATGAAATATATAACATCCAATTAAAACCAAAATAGGTCTTTCATTGAACGCCAGTTGTGGTCCCGGTACCGGTATTCCAGTATTCTGTTATCACAAGCAGTTGGAGCACATATCCTACAGAGCACGGCGCGTTGACAGAATCTCATGGTCTAGTGCAGGGGTTCTCAAACTTTTGGTGCTGAGGAGCCTTTGGAAAGGTTGACTATCATTCACGGAGCCCCAAAATAAACGTTAAGATTGTTACTTTCCGATTAATATTCCTGAGTAAGTTAAACGTACTTTACTCAATTTAAATACTAAACCCTTTCAATGGGGTTATTACAAGTAATAAATAAATCTAAATTTCAAAGATAAATTGTATATATTAAGGCTGTAAATTAGGGGTCGAATCTTTTCTCCTCTTGGCATTTTTGGAAGACTTAAAAGGCCTCTAATAACGTGCGCGATTGCATTTTGTTACAATCGCCGATTGTTTTCGTCAGCATGGCGTGTTTTTAAACCTCAAACATCTTTACGCCGGTGTTTATTCTCCCTAAATCAAAAATTTCCTTCGGCATATACATGTACTGTTCCACAATGACGACGATAAATGCTTTTTCGTTCTCGTGGGGAATTATGAGTTCAATGTGAAAAACATGTTACCATAATATAATCATCGGCGACGAAATACTACAAAATAATAGTTAATAAATCCGCAATTCAAATTTCTTGATTGAAAAGCGGCGTTCTAAAATATTAGAACTAAAACCTAAAATGGAAGATAACACTATAAGTTTTGTTTCAGCAGACTCACATCAGAATAAAAACGCTTTTATAGACATTGTAAATCACAAAATTTGGTGTTATGTTAGGTTTTCTTCGGTTATTCATCGTAGTAACTGCGAAATTGAAACACAGTCAATTAATTATGCGCACGATGTACCATTTTTCCATTCTGAAACTACCGACGGAGCCGCATGCACCAAAATAAATTTTGCCAAGACCTTGTGATTTTTCAAACGGCGATATCTTGCTTAAAAATAATCTCGAGTGCGAAAGAACAAATCAAATTTAACAAATCCCAAGATCGCAAAAATACGACTCCAATTTATTTATAGTTGGCAGTTTATCACGCAGTTTATGTTATTTTACAATAGTATTTTTTCATTTCAGTAATCCTAATAGTAGTCTCGAACGTGAGTAACGATGAGCACAATTAAATTATTGCGACAAGACACTTTAAATGGTCGCATCGGTCATGAATTGAATATTTTACGCAACAGAAATCTCGTTATCCGTTTTTTTTTTAATCGCAATGATTGTTGCGCGGAAATTTCCGATTCCAATTGTGAACCTCCTCCCTCTTAAGAATCCTGGCTGCGCTCCTGCTTATAAATAATGTCATTTTAATTCCGCCACTTTGCCATATTTCGAGGCTATATTGTTGTCAAATTTTATCAAAGCTGTTATTGCTTCTAGGAAAAGTTTTGAACTAGCCAAGTCAGTATTTTGAAAAGTAATAGAATAGCTCGCGGAGCCCCTGGGTTTCTCTCGCGGAGCCCTGGGGCTCCGTACGGAGCACTTTGAGAACCTATGGTCTAGTGAGAATGACGTCATCGGAAACACCGCGCCCATTAAAATTTCAATGAACGATTATTAAAAATCTTGACCATGTTTATCATAATAAAAATATCAAAAAAGATGTAAAAAATATTCTATCCCTAAAACTGCTCACGTATACAATGAAAGGTATCTAGAAAATTACATAAAATGCAAATTTCTGCTCTGGTGATCACATTCCCCATAAGAGCTAATGTTAAAAAATATTTTTTTACATCACTTTTTTTTTGCGCGTAGGATGGGTTTTTAATGAATAAGGTCTATTCAGGGGATAGTAGAAATTTTTCAGCTTCGAGCATTTTGGGTTTTCGCATCTGCAGAAGTCTTTTGTAGCTAATAAGTCTTTAGTTCGAATAAGTCATGTGGTATTTGTGTCTTTCAAAAAAGCTAAATGGTAGATCAATTTTAAATGAGCGACAAAAGTATACAAACCATAATAAATTTTAACATCGTGCTTGATAATAGTCCAAGACAGAGAACAATTAAAATTCAGCCAAACTTGGGTCTGGTTGTTAAATTATTGCTGATATCCAACTGACCCCAAAGTTTATTAAGGGTTGGTCAATTCCAGTTTTGGGCACAAACTCATGATCCTTGAGTTTGTGAGTTAATTACACTCATTTTTAACAATTTTAAAAATTGAGTCCTCACTCCAGTCGATTCGCTGCACTCCCGAGTAAATTTCAATTTCATAAACAATAATGAACTGATCCAATGACTTGTGTTTTTCCAAGACTGATTAATTGATAGATTAAGACATAACTGGAAGATACAATTCAGCTACCCGGGGCTTTTTGTCGTTCGAAGTTTTTTCATTGGGTGCAAAGAGGAATAAATCACGCATTCCCAATGCTTAGACTCTGATGATTTATGTTTCTTGTTCTCGGTACACTTGAATCAGCTGATTCTAACATTGTGACGAAGTAATTGAAAAATTTCAGTTTGCATGGCATTATGAAATCACAATTTTGATATGATTAGTGATGCCACCACGACGACGTTACCACATGACCGAATCTACAAAATGCAAGAACTTGAAAGGCTGGAAGGTCTGATTTTGCGTTTTTCTTCGAGTAAGTTTCTTTTCTATGTTTACCCATTCTTGTTTTTAATACCTAATTAATTTGTAAGGTCGACTTTTTGGGAGTATGGCGTAACGGTACTCATATTATTCAACCGAATCCATAACACCTGCTTTCTTTGAACAAAGCTTCATTCATCCGTAATCTCATTTTTTTATAAGACGCTTCCGCGCATTCATTTTCGAAGATTTTTCATAATCAGCTTCCAACACGAAAGGAGCAACTATTTGCAAAAAGGCCAGAGTCTTTCCTGTAATTCATAGCCTACCCATTTGTTGCACTTGTGGTTTGAACCCACTAAAGAACTAGTTAGTTCTGACTAAACAACTACGCTCGCAAGCGGGACCGCGTTTTTAAGTGGAAATTGGGTCCTGTTGAATTAGGTGCTCGGGTGTTATATATATATATTGTGAAAGTTAGATATGCTGTATATGTATATTTTAATTTTATCCGTAAATGTAACCCTCAATTCAATTTTTTTGAAGGAAGTCTATATGTCGGGGAAATATTTCGCGATAAAAAGTATTCACGACTGCTGAATCTCATCGAGAAGGCTGATGATCATCTTCACCTAGAAGAAACTGGAAGAGCTATAGCGGTTTACAAAAACGCCAACTATCATTTGAAGGTACGAAAATACTATGTGGTACAATATTCTTTATGATACAATTCAAAATTGTTAATGTTTCGTTCTGATCACTTTTAGACATTCGTGACGAATGGATTGAAAGATCGACTTCTTTGTGCTAATTTCTATGGAACCATAGAATGTCAAATTTCATTCTGCTACTTGATTCTTGGCAACAGTGCATTAGCACTTCAGCATGCTAACAGGTGAATCCAGTTTCTTCTAATAATATTACTGCATAGACGAGGAAAGAAGAGTGTAAATCATTAGGATGCATTTTGGCCAGACAGTTCTCTCTGCAGTTCTAAACATCGCTTTTTCTTTTCTGATTACGCATTTCTATTTAGAAGTATCTGTCATGACGTATCATGTCAAACAGTACATGTATGGAGAGCGTTTGCTTACCGAAGGCTTGGAAAATATGCGAGAGCAGTGAAATGTCTAACAGTACGGGCCCCACTTTTCATGACTCAAGTCTTGTCCGACGCTTATGATTATTCTGAGTTCCTTGTGAAAATCCCAAATTGGGAATTATATGAAGAAGATGTCATCGTTAATTACTGGGAAGAGCTATTGAAAATTGTGTTGAAGTCCACGAAAAATGCAAAAGTATGGAATACAATAATAATATTTATAAATTGTGAAGTATACTTTATGAACTGGCTCGTTTAGCGACTGAACCCCGCCCGATTAGGTAAACTTAAACCCGATGCGGGAATTATTTGTTTGAGACCTGAAATAGGCCCAGAAGCTGAAATAACCTAATAAATCAGAATTGTATTATGCACTGGTATTTTGTAGTATTAAATCTTTATCTCCATCAAGTGGAAAAGAAAATTTTGTCGATTATTAAGAGATATTCGTTTTTGTAAATGCTTGACCAAGCCTTTACAAAAGCCTTTTGCTTGACCAAAAAATAAAACAAAATATAAACCAAATCTCCGAGGAAACGTAACGTTATTACATTGTGCTCTCATTAATTTACTTATTCGCAACTGTATTCAATTCATATAATTTAGAAATTACTCTTCCAACAAACATTATCCCAACACTTATGAACACTTGCTTATGAACTTTGTAGGTAACTTCCAATTTTATGTATGATGATATTTTTAGATGGAACATATCAGAGAAATTTCTTTTTCACGCAAAGAAGAATTACATGAAAGATTGTCGATGGAGTATTTGGCAATACATCCCGCTTATCACGATACAGTTGCAACCGGTACGTTTCAACTTTGCAACCTACATATAGATTAGTTCTGAACACTTTCAAAAAGATTATGAGCAGTGATAGAATTGTAACAACGGATTCACTTTTGAACCGATCTCACTCATTACTACAGGCTCTCTAATTTCAGAAAACCAAGTCGAATTGTAGCACTATTATATTACAAGAACGAAACATAAGTAATAAGAACAATGAAACGTCATATTTACTTATGCATGTCACTACCAAAGCTAAAGCCAAATATGATGCTAGTCGCCAGCTGCGGTGCGCGTTATCTATTTGCTGCAGTCGTCTGACGTCTAAAACAAAAACGGACGCGAGCCCCCTGGATGCTATCACTAGATATGAGACCGATGTTTTATTGTTTTTGAACATCTAAAGCCAGGATGGGCAATTACTTTTCTGAGACTAAGATAGATATCTATCTATCAGTCTATATAGACTCACTTACTGGGCTGGAGGCTCAATATGAAACTATGAATCAAAACAGTTTACGTAAAAGCTAATGTACGACAAACATGTATTGTACCAAGTAGCACAATGATTAATGGGACTGATGTAGCCTACTGCATGCGTCCAAAAGATTATTTAATTCAGACTCGAAGCTGCTTGTTCTGAATACTTATACCGCTACTGGGTTTTAATTAGAGGAGATCTGTTTTTAACGTTGTTAGTCTTCATTCGGATAGATGAATTTTAGGTATATGTAGCTCGTTTGCACAATATATTCAGGTGCGAATATTGTTTGGGGAATTACAGTATTTATTTTAACCGACGATTTCTAATTTTTATCGAGATTTTCAAGAGAAATTTATATCTATAAAAACTATAATCGTAATTTCACACAGACACACAGGGCCGCAGAAACACTTCGGTTGGCCGTAACCGGCACGCGGGGCGTTATTTGCCCACCCTTGAGCGAAAGCATATTCAAATGTTGGAAAAGCAAAGTCAGTTTAATATGTAATATGTTAACTCAGTCTGACTTACAAATGCAGCATTCGTGAGTATTTATTTTATTCTATTTGTTCTTATGTTCAGATGTGTCAGCGATGAGAATTCTTCCCAATTCATTTCGAAGCATTCTCCAATCTCAGGAAGTTGATTTCTTTTATCAAGTTACGGGATTTAAAAATACCAACCAAGTTGCTAACTATTTCAATAATTTATCTAAAAGTTCTAAAGAAATTATCAAAAAAATAGCAAAAGATACAGATTCAAAAATCAACACTTCCATGGTCGAGCGAATATCTGCGTTATCAAAGATGGCGGATGCCATGAATTGCACCAACATTGAGGTTTGAAATATCATTGCTTAGAATAGCAGATTAGAATATTTATGAGAATATGACGCCCACTACGTACTAATCATCAGGCTTGTCCATGGGACATATTTTTCTGTCCCATTTACATCCCACCCCATAGCAATTATGACTGTCCCAACCCATCCCATGGGATTCCCATTGAAATAAAATTCAATAAAAATTGTTAAATTTAGGTTTAGCGTCTACTAAATAGGACTACATGTACGAATAGACATGCAAAACAACAAAATATATATACGGACTTTGTTAACTTTATATTCATAAATATTATACATGTGTCCATCAGCCCCTTCACGAAGTATATTTTTAATGCTGAATATATTTTGAACTTTATAACTAACAAGAGAGCTATGCTCAAATATATGGACACGAAATCCATAACGAAATGTTTTACCATCATTTCCCCAAGAATCATACGATTTTCTTGTCCCACGTGTCCCATGGGAAATACAAATGTGTGCTGTCCTACCCCATCCCATGGGACGTTTCGCATGGGAATCCCATTCCCATGGACAAGCCGGCTAATCACGTTGCAAATGTGGATATTTTTTTGTTTGCTTGGAAATGGAAACCAAATTAATATTATATGGTTTATTTAGAGATCCATTACAGTTCTTGAACATTCCAAAAAAGGGGATTTAACAACCTGTATTTTTGTTACATTAATCTTCATTTTGCACCTTATCCGGAAAAACTAAACAGGTTAAACCCTTCAACAGTACAGGCTTCTTCCTGGATTTGGAATACACGAACGACTATTGCTTTGTGCAGCTCTGGTACATATTGGAAAATTAGAAGAGGCAATACAGGAATATAAATGTTTGAAAGTGAGTAGACGGATGTCAACTAAATGACAAGGGTTTCAAGACGTGTTTTGACATTTACTATTATACAAATTTGCAGGAAGTTTGTCCGACCGTTTTTTTGCAGTAATGAGGTCGTATCGTTGTTGCATTTGAACCAAAACACTTCATGTACAAAGTTCTGTCCAAAGAAGTGTTATTTACACCGGAACCAAATATTTCTGGCCGTTATGATATCGAGTGAACTGTTCATATATGATATGACTAATAGTTCATCCTATTTTAACAAAAATACATTTATACAAATATATATCGTTTTGATTTCAACAGGCAGACATAATGTTATTCATTGTTCTGTCGAAAAAGGGAGAGCTCAAATGCCAACCATCAGCTTCAAAGCATCTTCTTGCTATTCAAAACGTATTGAAATCTCTCAAAGTGAAATTAAAACAAGACAAAGAACTTCGGCGATCGGTTGGTAAGTTAAATCACCTAAAGAATATAGAATATCAATTCAATAACTCTCGAGTGTAAAGATTTGAAATTGTCATTAGGTTGCCTGGTGCATTGGTTGGAAGACTGTGCCATGAGATGGACAGCTGAAAATTATTCGAAGTCCTGCAACAAATATAATTCAACAAAAGGAAGAAGGTATTTTAAAGGTAACTCGATGGAAACAATGTTCTTTCAGCTGTTAGCATGCGGAATTTAGATTTGATTTGGGGGTCTCATTGTTTGCTGACCAGACCATTGGTCAAATTTGAAGTTTTTTAGAAGTGAAAATTCTCAATCAATCATCTTCGTTGATTTGTGTTCTGTTTTTAATGCATATGATTTCAAAAATTTGGCTTGAACCTGAACTAAAAAGCACGATTTTGGCTACTAATCTTAGTTTCACATTTATCGAATAAAACAATAATTGCTATAAGCGTTCACGTTTCTGTTTTTGCACTAATGTGTTGAAAAAATGGGATTATGATCGAAATAAGTTGACTCGTCATATTTTTTATTTGGATTGGAACTATAAACATGACATAAATTGGAACTACAAATACAAAAATATTTTTAGGTTCTAATTTAAAAAAGAAAGCAAAAACACCGCAGAAACTAGAATCCGAAGAATGGCAAGAATCTAAGAAAACCTCAAGAAAGCTTCGATTTCAGCGCTGAATAGATGAAAATAAAATTCAAAGAAAATGTAGTGGTTTCTTGCTAAACCGATGAATTCAAATCAGATTTTCAGCAGATTCTATAATACCCTCGTCCAAAGTCAATACTAGTTCATTAATCGAAATTTTTATTACTTCATTTATCATTAAACTTATATTACAACTATATCCTATACTATTTATCCATAATTATAACAACGCTAAGATATCTAAATGAAAAATGAATCAAAAAAGTAAAACAAAACGTGACTTTTGTACATCCCAACTCTTCCCTTGTTGTTAATTATGATTTGTTTAAGCCGTATGTTGTGTGTGGATTATTATTTGTAGAAATTGTGTGTAAAGTTGAGGAGTTAGATCCATGGAGTAGTTGGAGTTTTCCACCACTGCCATGTGCAATTCCATCTTCCAAATTTCTGCCAATCTTCTGGGACCTTCCACCAATCAACTGGAGATTTCCACCATTCTGTGAATAAATGGAAACGCGTGCTTGAGAATCATGTTTACACGATTGTATACTAAATTTGGACCTCAATTACGGATTTAAATTTTAGCAACAGTCTGAGTTACAGGTGTATTGAATTAATTCAATTATAGGTTTAAATATATAGTTTTGTTCACGACCTGAGTAGCCACTTACCAAAACCTGCATTTAAAGTTATAATGTCCCAATTTGCGAAAATAACCCGGTTGCTTTTATTACTATGGACACATGCTTATTGCTGTCTTTACACAAGTTTTTGATAAAAAAAAAACTTTGTTGAAAAGCAATATTTATTGATGAGGTATCAGCGCATATAAAGCAGTTTTTCCCAACCTATTTTAAAGTGGATTAAAAAAAAATCTGAGTAAAGTTTTTTTTCTATATTTGGTATTACTCAATAGTAATTTTATATGTGGGAAGTATCACAGCGTAAAATCTTGGCAGCAGCTATTCTGCTTAAATAAACCCACGCTACATTTTCAAAAACGAATGTAAGTATATCCTTGGTTGGCAAGATTTTACAAAATTTGGGTCGCTTGAAAAAAAGTTCGGGAACCACTGGGATAAAGTATTTGATTTAATTTTGATTACTTTGCTGCGCTACTTACCATCACTAATTTTCCACACTTGATTGGACCACGCCCCTCCTCTTCCGTCATTTTCGCAACGATTGGACCATCCATACCAGTTGTACATATCCTCAGCATGTTCTGATGTCAAACACATTCCGCCGGCTTGTAGAGCGAAAACCTTAAAACCACGAGATCTGGCGTAACGAGCACATGCCCCGATTGCATCTTCTCTTTCGCTGTATCTCCCAATAAGTTCCAAATTAACCCCTTCAGCAATAGGAATGGTGCGGAATGCATCGTCCTTCCAGCAACCCAAGTTTTCTAGTGTGACTGCGGAATTATTTCAATATATATTTAATAAAACACATTTTATGATATAAGCTTTAAATATACTCTTGACATTCATTTAAACTAGAACTTATTATATAGTTATTATTAACCGTTATTATTTAGTACTCAAAATAATCTGATAAGTATTGTTGTTTGAAATTGAAATTTTTTCTGGGAAAAAAAGAAAGATAATATTCAAATCGTCAGAAATTAAGTAAAATCTGGCATATAGCAAATAAATCGTGAGGACAGATATTTGCAGCAAGAGCATAAAGTTGTTTTATATTTTTGACGCGAAATTTAGATTTCTATTCAATAACTCACAATTATTCTTGGCCTTTATTTTATAAATCTGTATTGCGAAACGTCCACCGAGGCCATCATCTGAACAAGCGGCGGATTTAACGCATCTTTTGGTCTCGTTCCACCACAAGCCATGACATCTACCTCCGTCCAATAAAGCAAAACTGTCAAACTCCCACATCGATGCAACCAAAGAGCATTTTCTAATTTGGTCGACTCTGGTCTGTAAACATATTAAATTATAAAATTGAATTTGTAAAATGTTTTTACAAGGTAGCAGTTTGCACTCGAATATATCATAATGCCGAATAAGTAGCAAGGATATAACATAATAAAGCGCTATGGTATAGTGTTTATCTGAAATAATATCGTGGTGTACGTTAACCAATAATACGGTGAGATTTTACTACAATGCAAAGCCTTACTCTTGGCTCATCTTTCAGCAACGGATGTAAATCTTCCAAAAGTTCAATTTGTTCACAGTCTTCAAAGCAGCCTTTATTGCTGAACCATGCTAAAAGAAAAAAACAGTTTTAGAACAAAGACAGCTACTGGTGAGGTAAAACTAGATAAGAATTTAGGCAGGGCAAATCAGTATATTTTTATCCCTAACGTCAAAATCCCGATAATGCTATTTTTCGATATTTTTTGAGTTAGGTCAAGTTTGAATGGTAATAAAATACACCAGACGCAACTTGATTTCATATATATGAATAAGTTGAATTTTACAGTTCAATGACGATCATGAAGACGACTAATACTAGACAAAATGAAACATATATATATATCAATAACGGGTTGGAGCCAACTTGAGCGTGTTGGGCCAGAGACGATCGAGCGATTGAAAAAAGAACCTATTCCAAATTTTTTTTTGTCAAAAGAATACAATACTCACGATCTCTGATTGTGTTCAGTTCAAAGACTGAAATTGCTTCAGCATTTCCCATGTCTTCTAAACATTCATCCGATGGCCCATATGACCGGAACAACTTTCTTGCATTTGGAGAACTAAGACATTTTCCTTCTCTAATGGCAATCACATCGAATCCAAATTTCCAAGCAACTCTTGCACATCTGTTTTTTTTTATGTTACACGGTTAGAAAGTAATATTCACAAATAACGTTATAGTCGTATATTGTTCTTAAAACTGTACTCTAATGGTCAATCGGGAGATGAAGATTAGATAGATATTCTCATAATGATTTATTATAGCATATAGAAATAGTAAATATATATGCATGTATAGCTTAATATAACATTATACTATCCTTTGTTGGTAAAAATTAATATATTTACGTTAGATGGCAATTTTACACGAGAAAGAATACTAGATATGAACATAAAAAAAGAGGAACATATAAAACTTTACTTTTCAACCGCATCTTCACGAAGAAAAGGTTCGTCTTTGATAATCTCATCAAGTTTCTCCAGCGATGGAATCAGTTGCTTATCAATAACTTTCCAGCAACCAAGCGAAGTCATATGAATTGCTGTTCATAATAAATGTTGATTCATTATTATTCAAATTTGACTACGAATATAGTGCGTAAAACTTATGATAAAATACATGAGTCACACTTGATAATGTGCCTTGATCTCAATATGATTTTTATCATAACTACAATACAATGATTATTTTCTTGATAAATGGAGTAAAAAATGAAAGAACATGACTTTGACATGAGTTGTCACCACACAATTAATGATGGATTTGTTATTTTAAATCTCCAATCGTATTTCCTATTTAAGTTGGTCTTGTTGTTCGAATGTTTAATTCTAAAACTATTCTTATTATTCAATTTCAAAGAAAAATTTCAAAATATTTATGCAATCACTTACGTGTAAACGATTCAGATTGCTTCCATTCAATTTCTAAAATAAGCATAAAAATGTAAATCGAATATGATTCTGATGCTACTAAATAGTAGGCATATATATCCTATATGTTTACAGTTTTGCGAATGCTTTTTTAACATTCGATTAGTAGTTTTAAAGAGTATAAGTAAAAGTGGTTCTTCGCTATATGAGTTACAGAATAAATTTACTAAACGCAAATTTAACATCTTTGCTGTTGTCACCGAAGTCTTTATGTTGTCATCATAGTTTGAATATCTAGGGCCGTTATTTCACCACAATTAGAATACATTAGATAAGATAGGGTACGTCTGGAATATTCCTTTTGTTCGAACTTTACCAATATCCCAATTCGTACCATTGCAATGCATGAGCTAATACTAACCATCCGCAACCAAGAAGGACCCCGGGCTAGGGTGGATCCACACATCTACAACCGCAGACATCTCGAATGACGTTGGAATGTTTGGTGGCAAACAAACAACCAATTCAATGTCGTAATAAATGAATCACATCTACAGTTGTACATTTCTGACGCATATAAATAATATGACGCCAAATTACGTGGTACTTGTTCAGTTACCCTCCGTTCAACATCTTGGTAAACACGAACTAAACATGAAGCCCGGCTTATCTTCAATTGAAATGAGTTAACTGTTCGAAAAATGCTTTGTATAAATGGGTCAGCGATCATGGGAAAATATGTTGTTAATGTAAGGATTTATCTTATTTATTTTCATGTCGTAACCAAATTCTATGCCATTTGTGTAATTTGATACATTAATTAATTCAACATATATATTTCAAAAACCTCTACATACGTAATATTATTTTCAGAGTTTTAAAATTTATACATTCGTTGTTTAAGGCTATTGAATCGTATGTCGAGTCTATGGAAGCAAACACTGTTACATAATGAAGGACGGCATTGATCTCGAACAATTGGAATACCTAGCCTACGTTACTTACTTTTCACTTCTCGAACAAGTTTGTAAACTTGATCTGCTTCTTTTGCTCCCTTCCCATCAATAGGGCATTCGTCTGACGACCCAAGGAAATCGTAAGCTGGTCTGAAATTTATTTATATTCCATCAGCAAAATACTATAACCTTCACTATCTGGTAATATGCACAGCAAAAATTGCGAGAACATTCTGTTTTTTTGGAGAATGATTCCGGCAGAAAATATTCATCACTACAAACAATCAAGGACCTAGTGGACTTCATGGGGTTGATAATTTTGGTAGCAAGTGCAGAATGTGTAGTATGAAATGAGAATTCGATAGATTACTAAGAACACATATAAATCATTCGTAGTTACAAACTCACAGCGTGCCAACTGTACAAGAGTACTCACTCTCTGAGCTCGGATCCAGCGCAAGCCCCACCATTTGTAACAGCGAAAATTTCACCATGATTCCAATCTGCGTTGTAAATTGCACATCTTTCGACTGCATTGTCGCGTTTCTGAAAATCTCTCATTCCAAGAATATCTGATCTTGATTCAATAAGTGGAATAATGCGAGATAGTGGATCAATTTTCCAGCATCCAAGATTGACAATTGTTACTGAAACACGAATATATTATGTGTTTATATATGCTTGCTGCCTATGTGGCAAATAGTTAATGACAAGATATAAAAAGCGTGGAACCTAAACGCCGATTAGGCAATACTGAATTACTTTAGATAAAGCTTTTATAGAATGAAGTATATTTCATTCTATAAACTACGCAGAATATTTTGTTAATATGGAAGATTTATAGGGTTTGGATTCGAGTAAAAAGTGAGCCCATTTAATATTTGAAAAATAATTTACATTCATGTATGCAGATGAATTCTTGAGACAAAATGTGTCTTTGGTTTGTGTTATCGTCCGAACCTACTTCAAGTCTTTAAACAAAAAAAATTCTTGTTCGTCGTGCTTGCAGCTTGAGGTTTCTTGATCGGATTATCGTTTATAATTCAATTGGAGGCAAAATATAAAATTACCAAATGAAAATTCATATTACTTACCATTGCTCAGAAAAGTCAGATGATAAAATTGTAAGTTTTCCCATTTGTCATCAGGTATTCCCCATTCATCACCCCACGGCAAACGAAGATCTTCAAGAGTCTTGCGCCACGCAAAGCATTCTTTTTTGTCATTAAGACCAAAAATTTCAAATTTTAAAGCTGCAGCTGCTCTTGCACATTTTTCTTCCGGCTCAGACCTATCTTCCAGTGTTTCGGGATTTAAACGGATGAATCGACCCTCGAGTCGCTCCAAATCTTCCACCATCTTCATCCATGATCCAAGAGGAACAAATTTTGCTAAATATTCACAAAATAAAATATTGATACATTTGCGCTATAAAAATAGCTATCAATTTTTTCGGCTAACATTAACAATATAAGTCAAGGGTTGTTTTTGATTAGATAATGTGTACTGATTTCACGCTGCTACATTTAACATTACTGATGTGAAAAAATGTTCTTGGTACGCTGTAATGTTGTAATTTTATGCAATGCGCATCTGGTGTCTCAATTTATGAAAATGATTTTTTGGTTTTTGGACTCGCTACCGTGTTTGGTGTTGCCAAAGATGTTCGCATTTTTCCATTGTATTATCGGAATTTGTTAAAGAGGCAAAAGTTTGAGACTTCACTAGAATATAGAACTAGCATTTTTACAAAAATAGTGACGTCGGTACAATATATGTGACATTTTCGGATAGAATGGTGAGTTTTGTGCAAATTGAGTATCAAAACACCCAAAATGTACAAAAATTGTAAAAATATATTTTAATATGGACACAACAAAAGTGAATGAGCGGGTTTATGAATCAATCAATAATTTGTCCAGAAATGACGTGATTGTCAACGTTGTTTATCAGAACATCTAGTTTTTATACGTTTATACAAAGGTCTGATCGCCAAATGCCCAAGGGCTTATTTTGTCAAATAAACCATGACTGAGCATTTTAATTGAAAATTAACCCAAATAAAAATTAGCAACAAAACGAGTAAAGGAGTAAACAGTTTATGGAAGAACTTAAGACAGCAATCAATTTCAAAGTAAAATTCCAATAATCAAATTTTTCATTAATAACATAATTTTAATTAGCGCGTAATCTAAGATTAGGGTTTTTGACAGAAAAAAAAAATTATATTTTTCTGGTATAACAAGGAAGAGCAAAACTTAATTAAATTAATTAATTAAGACAACTTAATTAATCATATAGCGAACCACAATCTCTCGTCCGGTTGACAGTTCACGCCGGCGTCGAATATTTATTCAGTTATCGTTACGGATATATGATCTTGAGTGAGTTTACAGTTTCTACATGAAATCTTTAACTGACGTATAAATTGTTACACGAAATTAAAAAAAATTGAAGGAATCATAATTTTCTACTTTGGAATTTAGTTAAACCTAAGCTATGTTTTTTTGTATAATTATGGTATAACATTAAAAAGCAGACTGTGTTTCGAAAAACTTACAAGTCAAATCTTACCGCGCCGGGAAGACGTTTATTTATTATTTATTGTTACATGAAAACTGTAATCCTAAGCATATCTTCATAACTTTATGTGTTCCAGGCAAACTAACTTCAAACTGTAAAATATTTATGTAATCCTGCGTACGTTCAAAGTATTTCAGAATTTAGATGAAGTTCATACCGTCAATGATGGTATCAACAAGATACACTTGGTTTTCTTTGGGTCCTCCTCTTCCATTTGGCAGACATTCAAACGACGAACCCCATCTTGTGTAGTTGAACTCAGCAAAAGGGTTGGTTGCACACAATCCTCCTTCTCTAATTGCGAACACACGATATCCCAACTTCTGTGCAACTTTTGCGCATTTCTGGACAGGATCGATACGAACTTCATGAGGACCGTCAAGCATAGGATGTTTACCCTCCCAGCTCTCAATTGCCCACATTGAAGGATTTTCTTTCCAGCATCCCAGATCTTGGACGACAACTGTACATATATGAAATTTAGTTTTAACCAGGTTTTTGATCAGGGACTAAAGATAGAAAATTATACAGTAAAGCGAGTCTAGAACAATTTTCCATATAAAGTTTTATTTCAGAATTTGCTATTTTTTCTAAATAAATTTCGAATATGAAACAATCACATAATTCTCAAAACTCACCGTCTATTATGCTTCCGAGTGATGTAGATACGATTCCAAGAACGAGTAAACAGGTTAAAAACTTCATTGTGACGTAGTTATATTTGATACGTCACTCTAACTTTTATCAACAAAATAATCCGCAGAATATTATTATTCGATATTATTATTTAGTAACACAAATTAAAAAAAAATATATCGAATAAAATATATAGTAAACATATTAAAGCAATTGCAAATTACCTGTTTGTTTCAGTCTAAACTGTTTCACCTCGCATTGAATGTGATGTCAATAAAACTGTTGTCTCGAGAATCTGATACGTATAAATATTTTCAATAAAAGAGAATTGAATACAATTTCGACAAATAATAATTCTAGAAAAATCGAGGCCTTGTTTAAAGTGACGTGTATTACAGTAAAATCTCGAATTACGATAAACCAAATAGTGACAAATGATGATTTTTCGTGACAAATAGTATGAAAGCGTATATCAAACCAATGTGATATTGGCGTTAATCAAGAACGTAATGCTTTAGTATAAAATGTGATCAAGTGAATAAATGGTGTCGTTAGCCAAAAATCGCATATAACAAATTTTATTTTTGCTTGTCAAATTTTATATACTTACTTAACCGTTTGTTCGTAATTTATATCCTAATAACATAATTTTCCAAATCAGAGCATATACTTGTTCCCACCTTACTACCTCGTTTTTCAGAAAAAATTAAAAATAACACCACAATAAGTACTTTTCGTAGCATTTCAGATTTTGCTATATGCTGTTTATTGACCTTCCACTAGTTTTCGGCAAAATGCCATTATAAAGAGTTAATGCGGCAACCCTCCTCGAGTTGAAGGCAAATTGAACTAAAAATGCAAACACACGTTCATCTTAAATTTATAGCCACAAATCTTTTTCTGAAATAAGGCGTCAATAGAGATATAGATAACACTTTGACGTATTCTAGTTTTCTGGTATTTTTTTTAATTTTCTAGTCTTATATTTGGCATTGATATGCTTCAAACAATTTTAGACATTATACTACTAATAATTTTCTTGTTAATATTCGCGGTTAAGTTAGTATGACAATATCTAGATCTCGGCCTGATAATTAAAAAAATATTTTTAGTTTTATTTGAGAACATTCCCATGAATTTTTTTTAAATTGAATTGAACATTTTTATAGCTCTATAACTAGTTAAGCAATAGCTCTATAACTAGTTATTCTGCGAATAAGCTATTTCTGCAACTGTCATCTGCTAATGGCCAGTGAGATTAGAGATTGCTGTGTACGATTAAATCTAAGTTGAAACATAAGCCCTCCCGGCAAAAAAATTTATATTATCAAATGGTAAACAGGCTTGCGTGACACGATAAACAGCATAAAGCGAGAACGTCTAAATTATCACTTAAATTTGAACAGAAAAGCACGAAAATGTGTTCAGCTTCTAATAGTAAACTGAGCTAATTCAAAGTAAAAAATAATTTGCTTTATAAGCATTATGTGATAATGAATGATCAAAGGTTCCTTTATATATACATATTGTACTTTGTTAAATCAAGTTAAATTACATTCATACAGTTTTACATTCTTATGTACAAGTTTAATTTTTGTGCGATACATTTAATTACGAATTCTCTGCCTGGAACCTGCTTAGAAAATCGATATAATAATTTGACATGAAGAAGTGTTACACATGGGACTGAACAAGGCTAAAACGGTAATGCATCATAAAAGGCATTACATCTATAACCGTGCCATTATATTCATAAATACCATCAAGAATTTGCTGTTTCCAGTGAATTGAAGTATGTTTTGGAGGTCATTAATAACTACAATACAGAGTGTCACAAAATAAATTAATAAACCCATTGATTCGATCACCCATTTTTTGAGTTTCATTCATTTTGGGGACACCCTATCCCAAGTTTTTCAATCCAAGAAACTATTACTGGATTTGGTAGTATAATGCCACATCTTGTTTATTTTAATGGTTAGCCTAACTATGTTGACATCGCTATTTGAAGTGTATGATTTTGAACCCTAGTCAGACCACTAGACCTTCAGGCTTGCGACTTCGCCAAGTGTGTGATTGTATGTTTTTATCAGATGACAAAGTAAAGTAATTCAATATTAGTAAATCACGATAATTCCTTGCCTGAAATTAGGTTTAAATTAAAATTGCAAGCTTCTCATATTAAAAAGAAATCCAAGAAGTCTTTTTCAACTTCAAAATTAGACATAATTTCAACGTTATAATTTCGTTATCGGATTAATCGCACATAAAAGTCCCTTCACAAAACGTGACAAAATACTTAGATTATTAAATTGCAAATGTGTTGAAACTGAAACATGACTTGATATTTTAAATAAAATTGTAAAATTATCTAGAATTTTATGATAAAATCTTTATCAATTTTTAGATTGATGAATATGCCCAAGGAAGATTGAAGCAAATTATCTTTCCACCACAGGCAAACCTTATTTTGGTCGAATATAATTTGTGCTACGATTTTATTGTATTTTAAGTTTATTTGTTCGTTAAACTATTTTCTGGTGCCAAAAGATCGATATCTCTGACAATACAGTTGCATAAATATTTACATATTTATTTCTCTGCATGATATCGCGTTAGCAGTTTCTTTTCAGTTATTAATTTCACCATTATTAATTATTTGTTGAATCGCTTCAAGGGGAATTTTATGCCGCTATTTTTATTCCAAATCTTTTGAGCTTTCGATGCTGCTGCAATTACAGCTTGCAAATTAGCAGCCCAAACGCATGACGTTATCACTGCAATCTGCAGCGTGAAGTCGATGGAGAAATCCATTGCTGACTATTCAACTTGTCCTTACTCACTGTTTGATACGATATTATCCAGACACAAAGATTGTTTCCGAAAATGAACTTTTCCGATTAGTGGTCGTGTGTTTACATTTGTAGAGTCTCAAGTTGTGAACATTGTTCATCAGATGAGTCCAATCCAAACTCATTTCGAATGTCGAAATGAAACTCAAAACACAATTACCAATTTTGCTCCGCGAAGTATGTGATATCCCATGAAATTATTGATTTTATAATTCCTTTGGCACCTGGACCGAACCGGAAAAATTACCCAGCAATTTACTTTCAGTGTGATTTTGATTAAATGTACATTCTCGATTCATTTGGCACGTAAATATCCTACCATAATTCATTAATGTTAAAGAAGTCCGTCATGAGACAATGACCTGATTTCCATTTATCGTAACGGAAGTTCTGAAGCAATAAATTGATTTATGTATGGTGCAGTCATTATGTTATAAATAAGAAAATAAATTTGTAAACGAAAGTGCTAATGGATGAAATGTAAGAAATCTGTCTAAAATTTGCTCGATACTTAAAGGTGATTCAAATTTGATATCAAAATGCTGCACATGCAAATGATTTAATCGTAGTAGGTTTTTATGTGCTTCATGTCTAATATGTATGATTTTCTCCTTGTTATTTGGATGAATTCAGATTGTCGCATTTCTGCTTTAAGTTATGTTAAACGACAAGATGTCATGTTTTAGCACTCAGTTCTAGTATTCGTCCATGAAGCGTAAATTAGCTCAATGAAATTTACGTCATGAACTCTTATGGTCCAGAAGTTATATCGGCCAAAATCAATTGGTCATTGAAAATAATTTGAAGCATAAATTACACGCATAAAACCAAGAAGATTGCCCATTTAAAATTAAAAATATTATACTTGAGCAATTGTGCACATTTTTCAGTCAAAGCACAACATTTAACCATATCATTTCGTCTGTGAATGAAATGGATGGCGAACCACTGACTCCGGGGTTTTCAATTTGATTTTAGTAATCAGATGATGCATAGACAGTTAAAATAGTGTGTATGAGTTCTTCGAGTCTGCGGAGTGTTTCATTGTGGATTCCGCTTCATCTAAAAACGCTGAAAGCCGCGGTATATGTCATATGGTATACCTAACAAAATTTCAGGCGGTCCGGAAGTATTCTAACCAAGATGACACACAACCTTAACAACCCTAATTTGGTACACATACTATGTTCAGGTTGTGCGCCATCTTGGTACAAATACTTGTGAGAACCAAATTTTATTGATCTAAACGACTGCAGTAATCTGAAATAGCAATGGAGCCGGTAAGTTGTGACGTTAATGTGGTTGAAAGTCCATTTACTCGTGGTGGAATTCCACAAACTCTTCTGAAACAATCGAATAATTTTTCATTCGGTCCTGATATAGCCTACGTGCGCATATATCTAAACTACACAAGATCATAACTACAATATATGCGAAAAAGATGCAACAGGAAATTTTCGAGTTGACCAATGCATTGAAAAAGGTTAGCCACCGTTGGAAATTAAAATAGCACGGATATCACGGACAGCAAAATGACAATATAAACTATCCAATTCAGTGTTTCGTAACATAGGTTCGATCGAACCCCTGGAGTTCGGTGGAGCTGTTCCAGGGATTCGACGAAGGTCGTCTGAAATAATTTTACACCATGACGGCTATATGTGAGTATCCTCGATAACTCGTATCGTCACTGGCGTCGCACGCTTGGGTGTACGCACAAGTTGAAAATCGGAAGTAGGTGTATATGAATGAATATGAACTCTGAGCGTATTCGAAGTTCGATAAGTGACAGGGTTTGCATCAAAGAATATTTTTATGGCAGAACTTTACTTAAAAGTATTATAGCCCGTCCTGGACAACTTTAATATGGTTCTGAGTAATACCAAATCTCTATTTTTTGAAACAATCCTTTTTTTGCATTTGATTGTTATTTGAAGTCCAAAATGAAGATGACTTGGACTATCAACGCTTTCAATACCTTATTTTTTTCTTTCGGAATTCCAAAGTTGCAATTTTTGCCTCGGTGGGCGATTTTAACAGGGTATCAATCAACAACCCGCTGGATGAGCCACTGGGTATAAAAACTTGCAACAAAAAAGCAACTTATTCATACAGGTCTCTTTCTTGGTTGTTATAGTTCACAAAAAACGAGTGCAATTGCAAAAAGTTTTTCGGGCAAATTTGGAACCACCACGGTAGTTGTAGTGTACTCTTAGATAACGATAGAACGGGTCCAAACAATGTTGTGCTATACAAGAGCATCCTCGGGAGTGGGCTTGTTGACAGAAAAATAAGTAGTCTAAAACTTGTGTGGGTGGTGAGGGGAAACACAACAAAATATGATAATATTTATAATGTTAGTACATTTGTACAGAGCGAAGCAAAAAACATCTCACATTATATTTGTAGGGGAAAAAAATAGACAAGAAGAGCCTTCATCAAATTTTTATTACATGTTTAACAACGCATTTGATTGCCATTTTGTGTAAACTACTTTTTAATAACAACTTCTTCAGGCTTAAATCAAATTTGAACCTGCGTGAAGGAGGCCAGGGTTACTCGCGAATGTACTAATAATCCGATAAAAAATGCACGAAGACAAATCTCTCACCCTCCGTAGTAATATATATATATATAAATATGAACATTAAGTAAAATGTATAATTCTGCCTTTTGTCGTTGAGATTAGATACTTTGTGATTCAGTTAATTTCATCTATCATTACCTACGTTTGTCGAACGTCTATTTTTCCAGAGTGGTTTATATTATACGAGTTATAACCATACCAATGTATATTGTGAAGAGTTTTTATTCGCCATAAATAGCGTGGGTTGAAAGTTTTGAAACACCGATTCAAACATAGTGGTACGCTGACAGCAAAGCATCTTGCTCACAAGAGCACTTGTCCCGATGTTAATATTGTTTATCAACAACTCTTTTCGCTTGAATCATGACAATGCTACCGTTTCATTGGTCAAATATTTAAATGCCGCAATATTTAAAACTCTGGTGTCGTATTAACATCAACAACGTTTTAAACGATTGCGTTTTTTTTCTTTCTACGAGTTATATAAAAGTCGATATTTTGAAATATTAATGAAAACATATGCACGTTTAGCTGTATTACAAGTAGATATAATAAGGATATGAAATAGTTGTTGTTAGTGCTGGTAAGCTTCAAATCTGAATCTTAGTATAGTTATATATCATTTTATTTGACTGCAATGGATGAATACAAGATGGCCAAGAAAACTGCGCGAACACAATCCAAAAAGAATGGATATATGGATAAATTCTACAGAGAATATGACAAATATAACGTAGAGGTAAAGCTCAACTATAGCTCAACTGTGGTCGTTATCATTTTCTAAATATTTGCTTAGGGCAAAATCTCAAGAAGCAGATATGAATGAAAAGTACCAAGTGATCCCTTACGTTACAAAAGCTGAAACAGAGACAAACGCTGTTCAATGTTAATGAGGTATAAGTTTTGGTCTGATTGGCATATACAAACAAGTGCGAATAATTTCTCCTTCCCTGCTTTGCTCTAGAAGTTGGGAAATATCAGGTTTAATCCCATGAGACCATAGCCGTGCTTGAATAGAAATTTTATTGCACATATATTGTCTATGTTGAATTAGCCTTTGATGAAGCGCTTGTAGTGTTATTTACATTTCAAAAATTATATTCAAATTCTACAAGTTTTGAGTAACAAAATATATCCGTTTCAATTACAGATTGTCGTTAAATTAAAGAGAGGAAAAGGAAAAACAACGACGACTTCCGTTCTGTCCTCTGAAATAGATTCAAAGACATTTTCCAAACCGGAAAAAAACGCAGAGGTAAACTCAGACCACAAACAACAAAAACGAAAATTCAGAAAAAGACATTTACACCAAAAACACAGTATTTCGTGATCCACACAACAATTCATGGTGTACGCTGTGAATATTTTATCCGAAATCACAATATTAGATCAAACTTAGAATATATATATATAATTATTTGCTTTTTCATTGTCAAATAGTGTGAAATACAACATTAATACGCGAACCAAACATGACGCAATGTATACAAAGTAGCTTCAAATGTATTACCTTCAAAAGCCTTATCGCAAATACGACTTACAATGAAATGTACGGTAATCTTTTTGTAAACTAAATCACTATTTTCTAATACACTTTTTAACGCATGAAATAATCTCGGTTTTCACTAGCAACAACGTTTAAAACTTCTGTGTTTTGGGTGATGGAATTTTGTTACTTCTACTGATCTATCTTTTTTTGTAAATGTAGTATTCTTCTTTATTTACCCAAATATTGAAATAAAATGGAATACAATTCCTGATGTTGTGTAGATTCTTTGATTATTGTAAGCGAAGCAGACATTTTTCACTTCAGGGTTCTGTTTGGGAATGAAAGTTTTGAGCATATCTTTGGGAAGAAAAGGTAAATTTAAGAATTTATTTACATCACGCCAGTTTGTAAATGCATAGCAAGATATCATTACTTGATATTGAATATTGCCACCGAGGAAATTTAAATCATAGTTAAGCATATTGAATATAATGACGATCATACCGTGAAGAATGCGACATTACGTAAAATTACTCTTATTATCACCATGGTACAAATTGTTATTTGCGTGCATCTACGCAGAGAATAAATCCTTTAATGCGATACTCCTATCTCTGAATATTATTGCCATCATGGCCACTAAAAATATATATATTTATGCTTATTGCCACACCAACCATTGTTGGCATAATACGCGAAAAAGGTAATCTTTTGTTCGACTAAATTTTAGTCAAACCACGCTCAGATGCGCAATGGATTCACGATCTCAGTAACCACCATCTTTAGCGGAAGATAATGTTCAACTATAGTCGAGTTTGCGTGTCGCTTGGGTGCGTAAATTTTACAACTCATTTCTCTCGATAGGGTCCATCAAGCCCCCGAAACTATCCCTTTTGTAAAGCCAGCAAACAATCAGATTTAGATGGGTTGGTTACGGTCGGTGTGCGCCCAACCCATCACCTCGCCTCTGTCTGTCTCGATACTTCCATTCCGAAGCTGTTGTCGTCATATTCTGTAACACAAAATAATCTCATCATTTGTTGTTGAAAAGTTCTGCTTTAGTTGCCCATGCTGATTTGAAACTACGCAGAACTAGTTAGTATTTAGTTCGTTGTAGGAAACTTTCGTATATACATGTTAGATACGCCAAGGTTGCAATTTACTCAATATTGAGTCTAGATTAGCGTTTATAGTGAAGAGATTGAGTAAAGGTATAATTAAATATATATATACTCAAATTCAAAACGCAAGCAAGCGTCCGATGTGGTTTGCTCAATGATGGGGTTCTACTTCGGTCAATGATTTGCTTCTATACATATACATGTTCTGTATGAAAATACAAATTAAATCTTATTTAGAGCATTAGAAGTTACTCAGGTTTTTAATTGGTATGAATAGCCGATATAGTGAAGTTAGAACAATTTACCGATATCAGTAATTACCCAACGATAGATCAGAAAAGACGATTTTACTTATAATGCCCTCATACAACAATAAATTTCAAAAACAGGTTTTAAAAATCAAGCAATAATTTTATACTCGATTTAGATCTATACAAATTTAGTTATCATAAATTCGATAATCAGAAAATAGTCAGCTAAAGTGAGATTTAAAGTTTCCAATTTCAAACGCTCAGCAAATTGCACTTCATCCTATCATTTAAAATGCACACTATATAACTAATCTCGGATTCATTCTAACCGGTAATTTTGCGACAATATCTACTTATTCATTTAAATTATACCTTTTTGGTAATTCACTAAACGTAGCTTGGCAAATTGAAGTCAAAGAAAAATCGTGCCTTTGGAGATTACTCAATCATGCTTTAAGTTCGAGAGACAAATATTTCTTTATTTTAAATCACCATGGCAATGGCATGTTTACCAAATACTATGGAAATGAAACAGCTAGTCAGGCGATTTTTTGCTGTTTCGTTAAAGTTTACGAAATTCTTACCACACCTTAATGTTTATTAAAGTTGAGAGTCGAGCCAGCCAGTTTAAGTGCTAAATGTCAACAGAATATAAGCGAACGAGTTTCAGCTGTAAAAGTAATTTTGTAGGAAAGTAAAATTGTTTTGAAATTCGATATCGATAATTTTGCTATGTTGTATCTTCACACCAAACATTGTTTTGTGGCTTGTGTGAGAATCCTCTGAATCCACCTACAACATGGGTTTGGCAGTTGTACTGAAGCCAAAACTGTTTGAAATGACCAACGTTTATACCAAATATGTTCGCTGAAAATACATCACAAATATTCAGAAATGTGAATGTGCATGTTTACTGATCTTAGACGTATTCGCCATATCTATGAGATAAAAAGCAGGCCTTCAAGCAAAAACTAAACTGGAATTAAAAAATATTATAGGAACTTGGGTGTCGAGTTTGATAACTGTGGCTATATGAAGTTAAATAATGATAACTAACTTTAACTTAGTCAAGAGTAAGTGATGATATGGGGAGAGCTCGTATAAGGGGGGAGGTTCTTAGTGATCAAACAGTGGCAAAAGCATAGTTTTTTATTGAAAATCGCTAAATTTAGATTTATTAGTAGTTGAATACCATTGGATAGAAATCACAAATAGACGACAGATGGCGTTTGCGCTTCTCTTCGCATTTGCACTTTTCAATTCTGCATATGGAACAGGTAAAACGGATATTATTTATTCACGAAAATATTACATAAAAAAAAAAAAATTCGCTTCTTGAAACTAAAAGAAAATATTGAATATTTTTTGTTTTGTTTACCAAACTTTAAGACTATAACTCAAGGGTGGGCAACTTCTCTAGTCGGCGGGCCAGATGTGGGAAAATGAAGTTCTCGGCGGGACAGATTATAACATGAATAGTATTCAATATCTTAATCACATATTTATTCGCTAATGCAAGAAAGAAAATTATAAATCGCGTTTGAAGTTAAGTTTAAACTACAAAAACAAAATAGAGACAAAAAAACATAATGGCTTTATCATAATGTACTAAAAGTGTAATAATGTAATATCATAATGTACTGATGTACAGTCTGCGGGCCGGTCAAAATCTCATCGCGGGCCGGACGCAGCCCGCGGGCCGTATGTTGCTCACCCTTGCTCTAACTCAATTATTAGACACATAGTCACGAGATCATTACCCGGCAATTTTATTTGAACCTTATTTTGTTTGTAAAAGAGAAATAAGTTCTTATCAGCGGCTTACGAAATCTTAATCTCATTATATCCCTAACTAAGGATGTGGAGTGGATGACACATTCACATCGACTCCACCTCTATCTTAAAGTTATGAAAATTTGAAAGCTTCTGATTCGATCGTCACTTCTCAAAAAATCCAACTATGTAATATAGTGTTTCATCTTTCAAAATTGATATGAACAACTGTTTGATTTCTCATTTTTCAAAATATCAATGCTTTTTGGAAGATAATAAAATATTTCAAACTTTCAGAAAATGCCACAACTACCGCATTGTCGACGGATTCTGCCACAGCACTCACGCCTATGATTACGACAGAAATTTCAACCGATTGTGAAAATATTGAAAATAATTCCACAATTCCTTCATCATGTATAACTTCAACATCAGTTGCAGTAACCTCAACTCAGAATGCCAATAACTCAGTTCAGATCTCCACTCCTACATCACATATTAACACAACAACTCAGCCCAGCGAAGTTAACGCCACCTTTACGAACATATCGCCGTTACACACAACTATATACAGCACCGTAACAGAGGAATCATTTCAAGAAACAACGTTTACGTCACCAGTGACATCCCTCCAAACAATAACAGCATCAAGCAACAATGAAACAGAAACTACAACTGATGAGGTACATAATGTTGGTTGACAAATAAATGAAAATCATAAAAACCTCATCGTTTTCCCAGCGTCTATATTATATTCGCTGTCCTTCATAATGGCAATGATCAACATTATTTTGCAATATCTGGAACAAAAATATGGATCGATTCGCCAAATTGTGACTGTTCATTTTGTTATTGTAACAAATAATCGCTCTCTTCCCCAACTTTTAAACCCACCCTTATTTATTTTCACACCATTTAAAAATAAATGTATCTATTAGAGGCCGGTGATTTTTTTATATCTTGTCATAATTCTCTCTGGCTACGTGTCCAAATTATGCTGTTAATGTTAAAAAAAACTGTGATTGATTTTCCACTGACTAATTTACGTTTCACTTCGATGGTAAATATTAATACTGAACTTCGTGTTGGTATATTTGTGGGTAACTCTCTTGCGATTCTATGAAATATATCATCTGCTGGAAAATAGCGAAACATCTGATTTTTGCATTAAAATTTTTCCCTCTTTGGACAAACACTGCTCAAAAATTTATAATTTAGAAATACTCACTCTCACTATAGCTATACTTAGACACTTCGCTGTTAGATTGCCTAACTTTCACACAGATGAGTTTAACATGTACATAGATTTATTTTCTCTGATTCGGATTTCATTGTCTAGATCGATAATAATACGACCACTGCTAGTGCATTGACTACATCAGTGACTGATTCGTTAACAACTCAGAATATAGAAGTCACAACTTCGTCCATGCCATCGAATGTTACCACTGCTACAACATATCCAACTATAGTACAACGAATAAAGGTAAAAAAATTATTATATATAATTGTAATTTACGTTTAAGCAAATTTTTCAGTAATGATGCTGTATCATTATATACATATTATTTTATCAAGCTCTCAAGTTCTAGATTACTTTCAGCATAATATGAATCAAACACAACCAAATGAAAGTTATTATGCCTTCTCCAAATCCAAGCATACCTAAAATGGCTTCTAATGCTGCAATTGCTGTAGTTTCATTGAAGTCAATAGAATAATGACGCAATAGACGTCACTCATTATTCCCTAGCTAAAAGGTTTCTCAAGCTATGCGCGATATTTTACTCAACATAATAATATGCTAAAAAAATTAGAACTTTAAAATATGCCTCGAGTTAAAGCAAAGTTATGCCTTTTGAGACGGAATTATTTCATAATTTTGCATCAGGTTGGAGTTAATTTTGAAAATTTTGCTAACCGGGACGGGACACCGGGACAGACGTATAAACCGAGACGTATGGTTGGTCTTGTTATAAGCGTTTAGAAAATAAAATTAATCATTTTCCGAGTAGTTTGCGGTTTCGTTGTTAGCAAAGGGGACCGAACCATATATATATATACATATATATAATTTGATATTGAAATTGCTGGTGAGATCAAAAAAATTTATTGGTGTTATTTATGAATTCAGTTAATCTAGGGACAAACTTTTAAGCGATCAACTGCATAGGTATAATTATTTTATGGGGTTAATATGAAACTTTTGACAAAGACAAAAAACTTTCAGCAAATAATCTGATCCCTTTGACTGAAAATGTACAAAATATCATATCACATGGGATAAATTTAAAAATATACTATTCGGAACTTGAATGCATTGCTGATGCCAGTTGACAACTCTTAGTTTAGTTTTAGTGTAAGATATTCTAGGCCTCTCACCTGAACACAACATTAATTGAAGACTCACACTTTTGTAAAATCTGTATTTTATGTTATTGTAATGGTAAGTTTAAATTACAGTTACAATCAGGGCCGGTTTCAAGGCGATTGGACCCATTATATCAAATTGGACCCCGCATCTTGATGGGGCCCCGCGCTAGTGGGGTCCTTCTTCTGTATTATTAGGCCCAAAATGCTACTGAAAACGTTAAAAATAAAAAGTGAAATAATCCTTTTCATAATATTAATTTGTTATGCATGATAAGTTTAGTAAATTATAATTATGTCACCATTAACAATTAAATTCTTCTGTTCTGCTTTATTTCAGAAATTCTGATTAACATTTTTGTACTGTTTTCTGAAAAAGCATTTGACTTAGAAAATATTTTGAATGACTTTGCTAATAAAATGTTATTGCCTATTTTGTCTTTCCTGATGTTTAAATTGAAACAATAAAAGCGTCTACATTATCTTAAATTTGTTTTATAGCAAGGACTAAATGTCTATTTTTTTTGTTTATTATGTATGTTTTTTTTATGAAATATAAACACCCACCATTAGATTTCTAACTGGGCCCCGCAGTTCCTCGCACCGGCCCCGAGTCACACATTTTACTCATTCACTATCTCATTGGAGATCTTATTGAAGTTTCTTTAACATTACCTATTTTTTCAATAACTTATATATATGTTGCTTGCAGGACATTTGGAACGAATCTCTCGAGAAACTAAACTTCAGTTCAACTTATTTGAATGAGACTGAAATGCTCGGCATCACGTCTTCTGGCCTTATTGACATCATGGTCGAATATTTTCTGATGTCTAACGTAACGGAACTTGAGGTAATAAGATGTGATGTGCTGCTGCAGTGTTTCATATGTATTTTGATAGTTTATCACACTCTCACACGTTTTATATTATTCATTTAAAACGAGTAGGAGAGATTTCTTTTCGAAAAAAAGAAAAAAAAATTCGCCAATCGACTAACTGGGTCTTATTTTAAGAGAAGAACTTATATTAAAATCATTTTTAAAATTCAGGCTTGGTCTTATTTTCGGGGGAAATACGGTAATATAATATGAAGCTTTATAAGATATACTTTAGTAAAAGCAAAATTACCAATTTGATATTGAAATTTCTTTCTTGTCCACTCTCTTTTTTTGATTATTGACATAATTTGTTATAACCATGCAAAAAATAAATTGTTTTAGGTAAAGGTAAAAGACTCAGGAATAACAGACTTGGCAGCTCAAATTCTGATCGAAAAACCCACATTACTTGAATCAGAAATACGCGAGGAATTCAATAGTTCACAAAACATAACTTTACACGTATTATTTTCAACCCTTTACTGGTTTCATGACGAGGTTTTGTCCAACATAGTCAACTTTCAACATCTGTCTGAGTCTTACACACCACCGTCGACATCTAGTGGTAACAATGGTACTGGGAATAGCACTTTGTCCGATGCAACCCCTGCAGGATTTATAGGTTACATTATAAATAATGCTAATGAAAGTTCCCTACAAGACAGTATTTGCAAAGTTGCAAAAAACGAAGAAATTGTTCAGTCGATTTGTTCAACAATTTCGCCACCTACTACGGCTGCCAGTAGTTTACCTGGTCCGGAGGTAAGGATGTACAACGCTTCAAATTGAGGAGTGTGCAAGTAGGTTTCAATTATGACGTTTCCATGAACGTGGTCCCTTGGCCCAGCAAACAACTCTTTGAAATATTTTTAAAACAACGCATACTTGAACGTGAAGTTAGTATTTACTTTGCCCCTTCAAGTAATGAATATGTAAAATCGATTGAGATAATAGTTGCCAAGAGAAAAGTAATTTTACAACAACAACGATATTGCAAAGCGATGCATATGTACACTAGGTGTCCAAAAAAAAAAATAAACAAACAAATGTTTTATATCACATAGGGTCATATCCATAATATGATGAAGCACAGCATCTTGTCCTGTTATTAGCCCAGGTCAAGTATGAGAATAGTTACCTACAACAAACGATGCTGCAAGTGTGCTATAAACTCAAATTTTACTGGTTTATTTTTAGATATTTGAGTCAACATGGAACAGCATTGTCAGTGACGTCAATTACAGTTTTGTGTCCGCGGCACAAGTGCAGCAACTGCAGTCGATTACACCCAAAAATATGACAACTGCCCTAATTAATTACGTCAAAGAAATGACGAACGACGAAATTAAGGTAAGTCGGGGAATATTGTGACAAACGAATAAAAAGAAATAGTTGAAATCTAACATATGCTATGGGTTATATTCACTTGCCTAACACAAACAGTCCCCGAATTCGTAATAGAACTAAAATAGGGAAAATCGGAATAAAATTATGGCCTAACCCCAGTGGCGTAGCAAGACTCTCGTGGGCCCCCCCCCGCAAAAATATTTCGTCAAAAAGCATAACATGTCGTTATAAAAAGGCTATGGTAACCTAAAATTTGCGCTTTCGTGTTAGCAAACTCATCCACCATCTTCGTCATATCATTTTTTTTAATTTGCTTCAAAAATTAGTTGCTTAACTGTGATAATTGTCGTGTAAGTTTTGGAGGAAAATTCATTCACGCCGGCGCCATCACTTTTGGAGATTCAACACGCATCTGGTTTTCTTCCGATACCACCGGTGCTAGGCTTAATTCCTCCTCAGTTACGTTCGGTATTCCCAAGTCTAATTGTTTCGATTTTGGTTTAAATATTTCGTTTATCTTGGTTACTTAAATAATTTTTTTCATACGTTCTTCCCCTTCTGCCCTTTTTCTTCGTTGCTGTGAGTCACTGAGAGTTTTTGCTTTCGACATCATTCTGACAGCCTTCGTAATTGTGCCGGTGCGATCAAACCACACGACGCCGAAAATCGACTCCGGGATTGTTACGTAACAAAACGATTTGAGCAACACTAACATCAAATAGGATGTGCATTAATACTTTTGCAATGCAGCTTTTGGTTTTGCGGCCTAAATTTCTAAATTTTAACCGCTTGGGGCCCCTTTTTGCGACCGCGGGGGTGGATGCTACGCCACTGCCTAACCCTAACCTGGCGCACATACTCCGGGAATACCAAAATTTCGACTATATGGTTTTTAGTTTGTTTGTCCACAAGGTAATGAGCTCTTTTCAATATATATACTTGGATTGTTAGCAATTGTTTTAATCTATCTTTCTGTAGAATCTTGTCGACCTAAATGTCACACAATACGTGAACAACCTTCTTAGAAAAAATGAACGACAAGTCGTCGACACCATTGGAGAAGAAGCTGTCCGAGAATTTGCAGGAAGTTCCGATAGAGAAGACGTATACTATGTGTATTCGAATTTATTAAATAAGTTATTCTCCAATACAACCAAATTTGAAGAAATTATTAGAGGATATATAAATAGTTCACCACCAGCAAGACGCAGGAGAAGCATTTCGGATTGTGACCTGAGTACAATTAACCCTGGAGGCATTTGTTGTTATACAATTGTTACAGAAGGATCTGATGCAGAGGCACTCCGCGACGCGGTATGTGAAGAACTGAATGGGGGGAATGAATGCATGGACTCATTTACCATTGTCGAAGAAAATGAACTTCAATCTACTACAGCGACAATTATTCCCATTTCACACGGTTTAACAACGTGGGAAATTGTCGGCATAGCTCTGGGTGCTTTTTTCGCCCTTTTGTTGCTTTTTCTATTATTGTTTTTTGTGTGGAAACGATGCATTCGACGGAAATCGAAAGTGAACCCACAAGCAAACTCTCAGCATTCCAGTTCTGAAATGGAAGAGCGTATGTCACACGGAAGCACCCGTGAACAGGCGCTAAGTAATGGTCACACAAGTCGAAGCACTGCGAGTTCTGCAAACCCATGAAGATTCATTGGAGAGTTAAGTTGGGGACAAAACGGGAAGAGTCTTGCGTGGCACGATGTCATGTTCCACCAGGGCTGTGGGATTCTGCGTCAAAACTGTCGATACGGAGTAAGAAACATTTCGGCAAGTACCCCAGTGACCAAAAGACATCGCTCAATCCCACACGTTCACATTATTCTTCCACTTTACAAAAAATGATTTAATATTTGCTCTTTAATCCCTAAGACGTTGATTGTAAATACTATATATGTTAAAGAATATCCCCCCATATATATAATTAGTTTGCAGTGATTTACCGCTGCTCATCCAGCCAGTCCATCATCCGCCATCTTCGTCGAAGGCCGTCTGCGAAGCCCGGGAATACTGACGGCCGGGGCTATAATATGGGTCAAACTTTAGCATTTAGCACATTTCACCTAAAACTGAAGCTCCAGCACAGGGGTCGGGAACCTTTTTGGTCAAGAGAGCCATGAGATTTACATATTTCTAATTACATTTCCGTGCGAGCCATATGGCATTTCTTTGCTTAACCATGCGTAAAATTAAAAGTCAACACATACAATGTCAATATACATTTAATGTGACTTCTGATGCTGCATGTTGTCGTTGGGGGACCTTGAACGACCGCTCACATCCTGGGCAAGTTGAAATCTACGTTACTCATAACCCTTCTTTCGTTGAGGCATCTCCGTAGTATTTTAAAAACTAGCTATGCTAGTCTGATCTAAATATGACAAATGGACGAAAAGCTTTTCTCTATTGCTCCGCGACTCTATCGCTTTGTGATGTCGCAAAATATTTTCCAGAATCCCCCAGTTTTGTCTCAATGCCTGTCTGACAATTCTCTTAGATAACAGACATGCGCTGGGCGCGCGTTTTCAAACGTTTTGGCATATTTTCTGCCAAACTTGGCTATGAATGAGTTAAAAATCTAATAACAATAGTAAGCTTTCACCAAATTTCCTTGAAAAAAAGTATTTCTCATTGGTTGTATTATTTTATTTCTGTTCACCGGAAGAGTTCAACTAAGTACACATTGAAAGGAAATTTAAGCATTGAAGTATCATATGGAGATAAATAAAGGAGATATTTGATATCCTTGGTGTATGAACGCAAAGTGCAAGGGTGAGGTGTTGTAAAACAATAGGAATATGTTTGGAAATAATTAAAATTACTAATATACGCCAAATCCTTGTCTCGTAAGAAAATTTCCCATTTAAAGCATTACTTTGAAAATGTCATTGTGAATAACAAATTTAATATTATAATATATATTCAGTGATGTCATAAACTTCTAAGTAAATGAGAAGCAGATAGCAATAGATATTCCGTGATTTAAAGTATGCGATTTAGATAGAAAATTTTCAGCAAACAGCAACTCTTCATTATTGAAATGAACAGGCCTGAAACCAAAATTAGATTTAATCAATTTAACATAACATTATTAAAATATTAATGACCAGTATGCCACTCAAAATGATCTCTTGATCTTGTTGTTGCATAGTATGCTATTAGAGGGAGTGTATATTTATATACTATCATTTATTATTTCATCTTGTTGTACATAACTTCTCACTGTTGTGCAACAAGATTTGTGAGCAGCAATACTGAACACAGTTGCCCTGTGTAAGTAAGTCAACAATAAGTACAAAGTGAGAGAGCCGCTCAGGTACTGGAACTATCAAATTGTGACATTCTAAAAAGTTGATGGCCACCAAATTCAGATTTATATTGCTTGTGAAAGAAATGTGTCCGTAACTCCGGAAAAAGGCGAATAGCGTATCAAAAGCATGTGACTCAATTTTGATGACAATATATGTGAAGACAAAAGAATCGTGCCACAAAGATTTACATATTTATCCAAGGGCCGGCCGAAAGCCGACCCTATCATATGGAATTTGAACCTGCATACCCACGCAGGGTAATGAGAGATGCATTGGCGAGTGTACTTCTAATACATAGCATGATGTGTCACACCACCAACTGCCTAATGTTCGGACATAGAAGAATACAAGTTTCACGATTTATGTAACTGTCAACTGTATGACCAACAAAATAAGAAAAAACTTACACAAAAATGATTCAGCATTTTTCCTTAATAAGGCCATGTTTGAAAAAAAGGAAGTATGGACATACAGCTCCATCCTCATATACTGCAAATGCCTTACCACCATCATGATCCATTGATTTACCAGTATAAACCTAATAAAAGATTTTATGCGTAAGATTTTTGAATTGAGATATGAGCAGCAAGGCACACAATGGTGAATACTTATGTTGAAGTATGATGTTGAAATGTACATAATATAGTGATACAAGCATAGTGCAATTTTGGTTTCAGAATTTACAAGTTCCTTGGCAAACACTTTGTGAAATCTAATGAGGTGACTAAAATATGCTTTTGCGTTGTTCGCAATATAATTATTGAAATAACATAATCTGAACATACATGAGTATCACATTTAATATAATTGTAAAGTCAATCCCAACCTCTATACATAAGTAAAACGGATGCACCCACGATCAAAGTAAATCAAATCGTTAAGTAAAACTCTACCTATAAAATTTATTCGTTATGGAAGCCCTTAAGTAGGTAGAAATTTCTGTAAGTAGGGACACATTTTACTCGTGAATGCCTTAATAATCCATTTTAGTCCCCCACAAAACTCGGATATAATATTTGTGTTAATTATAATAATGGTTAAATCTTGTTACAAATACATGTTTAGAATTAGATTACTGCTTAATAAATAGAAACGGTACAAATTATCTCAACTAAATTGAAATACACAATAATAATAGTAAAATATTTTTAATTAAAAACATCTTCGACGTTTTATGAGCACTTCAAGTCGGCGATAATTAAAATCAATTTATGCAACTGTAATTTATTTTCGTAATTTGGATTTTTCGTACAGAGCCTTTACATAAAAAATTATTTCCAACATATACATTTAGTTCTATGAAATTGAAAGATAAATTTACAACTATATTCTTCGCCTTCTTGATCAGAAACAACGCACCAGCCGGGGATTTTTCCATGAATTCCTTCTGCAATTCTTTGGTTTCCAGTTTGTCAACAATTCTTAATATAAGCAATTTATAAAAAGAAATTATGCTTCCCATTTGACGTAAGGTTATACTTTGAAAAATGCTTCTCTAGCCCATAAACTTTAAAAAGTTTTTCAGTTATCTCCATATTTCATTTTTACAAAAATCGGCTCTAAGCAATTGGAGGTCATTGTGACAGCAAAACTCAGACTTTGCATTGGCTTACAGTTTGTTCCCTTATTTTTATCACTGTTGTGTAGTAATAATATTAACATATTCATGACATATTATGACTTGAGGTTTTTTGGTAATTGTGGACAGCCTTTCTCTCGTTGGATCACAATCGAGAATTTACATACACGTTTGTTTCTCTCGCCGAGTCGACAAACAGTATTATCGAAGGTTTTCATCAATCGAATAATAAACATCAATGTGTGACATATTTTTAGGCCACCTTTTTTTTTTAAATTCTGTCATAATTAGTAATTCTTCATAAAAGGTGATAAATTGAAAACAAAATACTGTAATTTCGACAGCGAAAACCAGAAGCAGTGATCGTAATTGTTGCTTGTCCTAAGCAGAAGGTAGAACACTAATTTTTAAAAAGATCAAAAGAGATGCTACAACCTCCCAAAAACCAAACTTTTCTTCGTGCTTTTGGGGAGTTGATAAACATTTCTACAACCCATAGGAATCGTTACGAATTAGAAACAAATGAAAAACCAACAAGCCATAATTAATAATAACAAAAGTAAATAATACACACAATAAAATAAACATTCATTAATTAATACAATTGTGAAATTCGCTGAAAACTCGATGTTGGCTCGTGAGATAAAGTAAATACTTTATAAAATATTGGTAATATTAATAATTTAACGATAACAATTCTGTAACTCAGAATGATATATTATCAATAATTCCGAAGCAACACAGCTTCCGATAACCCAGCCCTAACAAGGGTATCATTTGTTTACAGACGCCTTCACAGCTTTAATTTTCATGATATTACCGGTATAAATAATGACTTATGAGTAGTGACATTCTCCTTATTTATATTATTCCATCGCATATCAGGCCTAGGAGAAAAGTAGCATATGATTTTTTACAATATAGAAGTCTATGTACCCTGGTCTTGAGTACCAATAATTGTAAATAAATGTAAAAATAAAACATGGAATTATAAACGAGAATTTTGCAATTTCCACAATATCTCAGATGGCTGTATCACTCTTTCTGTAGCACATAGCTCATGATTAGAGCAAATTATAATACAACATTGCTCTTAAAAGTACTATCTATCAACTATAAACTTTTTTATATATTATTGCCACATAACAACCAAAGATGACAGGTTTCCCAATATATTGGTTTATTGGAGAAAAAGGCATAAATCCAAAAAACACATAATTCATTGTTTGGCAATCAGTAGTTTTCAGTTCAACATGAATGCATGTATTACCATTTCAGTCTCAGCGAGACAGATACATCAAAATGGAAGAAATTTGGAAGCATATTTTCCAGTTAGTATTTCACAATATTTTGTTTTGATGTTTTCGAGAAGAAACACGCACATAAATTGTACCCTGCAGCAAGAAAAAAACCGATGGGGAATTATTAATAAAATTAAAATATCTCAAACTCACGCCTTAAGGTATGCTCTCACAAGTGTCTTCAGACCAGCCTTACTATAGTCCCCCGACTTAATAAGCTCGGATCTTAGAACAACATCGAAGTCCTTTATAACTGTATCCTCAGTCGCCTCACATTGTTCTTCTTGTGAAGGATTTCCGCCAATAAGGCTTTCATTGATTGAACAATCAACGCTTTCTAACTGCAATAAAGAGCTTACAGTTATTCCAGTATCAAAACTAATGTAATTTAAAACCTAATATTGACGAATAACTCACTCAGAAGTAAACTTAAAGGTTATCTTTATCCCTTTCACTATATTATGAATTTATGACTCACAGACATTTATTTTGGTTGCTGCTACAATTATTAATTACAACAAGTATTGATTATCCATACAGAATCAACTTTCTCTTGAAAAAAAATCCCCCTCATAAAAAAAGTCATAACTTTTTTTTTAAACGTGCAAGAGACTTCACTTAAATTTATTTTGAAAACTTATCTATGCCGCTTCATACAAGCCGTTACTCGATACACGTGCACGAATGACTCGACCGACCCCTTTGCCTTGAAACGAGGAATGTAAAAAAAAATTTGAAAAAAGTTTTGTATATCAAATTGTAGTGTTTTACGCAAGCCAGAGGGACTCGACATCTGATATCCCAGACATAGAGAATTGCGTCATCCATCAAAAGAAACAAGAGTGATCTTGAGCGAAACGCAACGTAAAATATTCAAGAAACAAGGAGAGCATGTTTTCGCTAACAGTTGAGTAATGATTACTCGTATGTTGATCACATGACTTTCTTTTAAGTAATAACATATTCCTCTGTATATTTCTTAGCTTTCAAATACTTACAGATATAAAACTCGTAGAATTGAAAATATGCCAAAAAAAAGTGACGCGCAACCGGGATACAGAAAGAAATTCCCCCAGTGGCACAGCCAAGAGGGGTAGGGTATTAGTCTGGGGCAGATTCTACCCTTTTCGGAATCATTGACACCTGTGGGAAAACGAGACATTACATCAGGCCTGCCCAACCTTGTTCATCTCGTGGGCCACTTTCACATAAGGAAATTCGATGTGAGCCACAAACGTTTGTACCAAACTTTAATACCAACCAAGTCCTGATTTCGTTAAAATTTATATAATACATAAAAGGCAAGATTATTAACATAAAATCAATCACGTTATTAATATGTACGAAATATTCGAATGAGAAGTCGAATATTAAAATAGCAGTTTAATATTCGAATATTTGGTAACAAAAGGCGTGGACATGACACTCGCGGAACGCGGAATCAAAAAATCAATCATTACACAACGCACTTGTGAATTTATGACGTCCACACGAGAATCTGCACAGAGTTACTAACAAACAAAGACGTAAAAATTGAGTCTTATATTTGAGTCATGGTGTTGAATTATTTATTTTCAGTGGCTATGATATTGTCTCAATGAGCGTAATGTGCGCCAATGTCGCGGGAACATCAAGTTTTGGTGGGCCGTTTCGTAAAATTTGAAACATCAATACAAGTATTTAACGAAAAAAAACATTACAATAACTTTTGGACGAATATACCGTATATACTAATTTGAATATGTAGAATTGTCAATTTTATCAGAATTATTGACGGATACGCAGTGACGATATGGAATTTTATTTAAGGCAAACATAACATAAACAAAAATACAAACATAAAAGAAAAACGAGTCCCGGATCCAGCAGCAAAGTTTATAATTGCAGCAAAGTTTATAATTGACTATTTATTTTACGTTGGCGATAAAGACGATCTCAAAGCCTACACGAAAAAAGCAATCAGAATGAAACTAATTTGAAATTAGGTTCCAAATTTATACCTATAATTGCGCTCAGCGTTCGTCGCCTATGATCGCACAACATCTTTCAAGATCGTCGAACAGACCGCACAGTTCTGCGAAAACACAGAACGTCGATGTCCACCAGGGTGCAAAACTTGATACATGAAACATAATAATAAGAATCTACATCCGAATGTAGATAGATGGCGGAAATAATCACATCAAAACCACGAAACATACTTAAGCCTATTTATAAGTTTATAACATATTAAAAAATTGAAAAAGTCTGCTTACAAAATTAATCGGGCGGGCTGCAAAAAACAGCCAGGTAGGCCGCATGCGGCCCGCGAGTTGGGCAACTTGCATTACATAATCATATGCGACGAGATGCTAAGACAAATAAAAGCGTGAGTCCGCAACGCAAATTTTCTCGATTGAAGAGCGACATTACCGTACCGAGCGACTAAATATTACCGTAAAGGCGTAAACTTAGAAAACCAAAAGTTTTGTTTTAGGATGGCTTGCAATCGCAACTATGGCTAGGAATGGTTAACCGGCTAATCGGTTGACTGATTTTAGATGGTTAACGGTTTCGACTTATTTTGATCCGTTAACTGACATCTTAGGTATGAATCATTTTTATAATGTACAATTTTTTCAAAAATGATTACGTCCTCGCAAATTCATCTCCTGTGGCATTTAATTCTAAAGAATACCATTAACTTTATTGGTATGGGCCCAATAAATGTGTACAATAATTGAAGTACCAAGATTGCTGATTATGAATATTTGACAATGATAAATTCAGTTTTCGGTAAAAATACTTTGTTCACGATTTTATTGCAAAATCGTATATTCAATGTCATCCAACAAGTGCGCAGTTGATGCTCTTTTTCTTTATGATACTTCAGAGTAGAATTTACACGTCGAACACTGAAAATTTATCACATAAATGACATTTAATACCGGATTCGGGTTTTACTAAAATACTTTCACGCTTTCATGTCCGAATCACGCTTTCATGTCCGAATCACGCTGCATATCTCTTGCAGCAGAGCAATCGTGTACTATCTCGATTCGTGAATAATTTTGAGCGATAGCGGGATGAGATCACCCGAAATTGGTTTGTAACCATTGTGACATAACAAGCTAAAATTATAAATTATTACGCAAATTGTCACGCCGCGGTTAAAGTGTTTTCCCTGAAATTCCCAACCCTACCCGCAACAGATTCAAAACCAAAACAGATTGGATCGCAAAATTTTAGGATCACATTTTCTATTCTAAAACTCCAGATGGGGTCTGATGCAACGTTTTCTCAATTATATATAATGATGATATATTCGACAGTCGACATCTAATGTCAAGTACATTTTTCCAGTCACATATTTTTGCACTGGAAAATCATGCACTTTGGTTACATGACCATCTCTAAACGTAGAAATGTGTGGCATCGCATTTAAACATCTGTCCCGTGGTATCCAGGTCGAATAGCGACTGTCATATTGGCGAAGTAATCAAGTGAGTGGCATTCCAAACAGTGACTGTCATAATGGCGACTGTTATGATAGCGACTTAACTTGTGTTCACTGAGTTGAATTTCCTGGTCGGTGGTTGGAAAGTAACGCTTTGTCGTGTCACATTAATTTTAAGGTCGTTTGAAAAATGTGCCCCAATAGATTTCATACCTCCAAGAAAAGGAAGTGACATGATTAGGGCTGGACAAAATATTCGAATAACGAATCGAATATTAAATTATTCGCTTGGCTTCACTTGGACACAGAACGTCTCTGAAGAACAGAACCGATCACAGCGTCTCAGAACCGATCATGAAATGCGCGAGAATTCACCTACAACGGCCGCTAACAGACAAAAGCGAATTATTTGAACAATCGTCTTTGCGTTGTGGTGTCATTTGTTTTCTTTGCGTTTCAATCATTCGTTTTAATTCCCTATGTTGCACAAAGAGACACCGACACCGTTCCCTAAATGCGTTAAACCAGATGAGGTATTTAAAATAAATATTCCAGATTTTAAACTCCGTATGATTGGCGGCACGTGATTAGCCGTTCCATGCATGAACCAAACATAAATTTGTTTGACGAAAATTAAAAGTTGAACTAACTTTTGCGTGAAACCATACATAGTATAACACGAACAAGCTATGACCAGAAAATAAATGGCAGGATATAGTTCTTTTAATGTACTTTCAAATAATTCTTCAGTGATCCCTTCCATTCTTGACCAAATAATGTTTCGAAAGTGTAAACATTTCACTCGGGCATGCATGGCGGGTGGAGTGTAGAAATCGTGAACAGGAGTATGGCGTAAAATCAATCGCGAATTTCGATGTAACAACGCGCACTGTCTCGTTTACGAATTGTTGTATCGTCGGAAATGATTACATTCGTTATATTTTGATCATTTTTGCACTAATAAATAGGGCGTGACATTATCAAAATTGTCAAGAGAAGTAAAAGTGAATTCGCAAATTCCGTAAATAAAATTGTGAATTACTCGGTAACGATATTAGCTATAATGATCGTGGGGTTTGTTGAAAGAAAACGTCTGAACGTGGAAGAGTTAGGTATAATTAGTGCCTATTAGGCACAAAAGTAGAAAAGCGCATTTTTTTTCAGCATTAGGTCGCATAGCCTATGTAAATTATTATTCAAGAAGGGCTGTTTATTAACGTCATCCTGTCATATGGCCACGGAGAAATGCCTTTATTGTCGAATTATTTAGTCACTATTTTAAATCAACATTCGGGATTGACGCAATCGCAGCTTTGCGAGGTTTATCTGTAAAGTAACATAGACACCATAGAAAAGCATAGCAAAGTTAATTAGGGTATTGTCTTAATAAATATCTACATCCCGGTATCATCGATAATAATATTACCGTTCGCTTAATTTTGTGACGATAAATTTACGAACGTTGTTAAGTAATATGAAAGCCAACGCGAATGATAAAAATTAGAATAATATTAATTTGGGTTTTTACATCAATCCTCAATGGTTTTAACAGCTGTTGCCGACGTGAACGCATATGTAAACCCGAAATATAAACGTAGATGTCCGCCGACCCAAAAGAATTAATACTTGCAAATAACAGAAAGGGCGGTATTATAGATTATATATCGCCGCAAAAACGACCACGGTGACAAAAACAATCACCGATTATGACAAAATTACCCAGTAAAAAACGCTATGTAGCCGATTTTTCAATGTCTTTATTAATTTCCAAAGGGAGTATCGATCGACATTGTAGACCTCCTGTTGTGTATAGAAAAAATATTCGTTATTCGACTATTCGGTATTCGTTAAAAATATTCGAACTATTCGATTCGAAAAAAAGATTCGATTTTGCCCACCCCTAGACATGATATGTCATGAAGGCTTTCTGTACAGGAATGACGAAACAAAGTTAGGGTTAGGGTGTGTGGGATGGAAGGTGTGTGTGTGTGTGTGGGAGGGGGTAAAAGAGTACGTGTGCGCAGGGAAGGCCATTTCCGAATACATTCTAAAATAATGTTTTCGAATCTGGAATTCCGAATACATTCTAAAATCGAAAATAACACATTTTTGTTTAGTTTATTAAAACTCAGTAAATTAGGAAATAAGCTTCAATAAAAATATCAGAATAAAGCCACAAACCTACAATATATGTACACAAAGTAATTGATGTAATAGCAACTAGTGACACAGTCAGTTTATTAAAATTATTCACTTTGTACAAATGACCATATAAAAAGATAGCCAAGGAGTTGTCTGACGCTTTCTATCATTGGTACCATGATATTACGATAATAGTTAAGTCTATTGACAAAAATACTACTTGTATTCAGATAATTGTGTATATTTTCTGAGAGTAATAAAATTTATTGACAATACAGGCAACTGAAACAAGCAACAACAATCGAAAATCCATTATGCCTTTAAAAATTCTAATATTTAAGCATAGAGTAGGCTATTCTACTACCTACCAGTATATTTGTATATTAATTTATGTGAACCATATGTGTAACATATTGTTGTGTTTGAAATTAGAAATAAATTAGTAGAGGATAGATGACCACCACTGCCAGCCGCGCAGCCAGGATTTTCGAAATCGGAAATTCCCATTGCCGCCTGTAACACCCGAAGTCACTTTGGTAACACCCACCGCGATTCCGCGCTCGTTAAGAGCTGTCTTTTCAGCGTATAATGATCATCATGTTATGTAAAAATATCAATCCACCTGCGATTATGCCACCTGTTAAAAGAGTCGACTTTTACAACAAATAACACAACAACGAATATATATTTTTCTGTTCTGCAAAGTGATGAATTCGTGACCGATACGGGCATATTTAAATGTCTTGCTTTATTAATTTAATTGTCATAATTGCAATCCGCGGTCATGAAAATAAAAACAAGTTGGAAACTGCCCGATTAAATAATGTTTTGATCCGTATTTTGCAAATTCGGCAAATATTTAGATGTACCGGTACTTGGTAACAGTGCCTTCACTCAATCGAGATTGTGGCCACTCTGATATTTTTAGATAAAACCGTTCGAAAAATCTATAAATCTTCTGTAACATCTCAAGAGGGAAATTTATTTCATCAAAATAAAATTGATTGAATATACTTTGAAAATATTCGACGGCAATTTAAAGTAATGGATAATCAGACAAATCCCGCCCTCAATTTGTGACGATATGTGTTTAAACGCCGACCAAACATAATGTGTGCCAGAGGCACACGAAATTCTGCGATTTTCACTGCCTAGAAAAGCGTTTTTGAATTTTCGCGGGCCTCAATAAAACTTATATTGTTTACGGTTTTATTTTCAGTATTTTAAATTGCCGCTTTTCAATCAAAAAGTTGCGTTGTCTTTAGAAACTCGCCGCCGATGAACGTATTTACCAGATTCAAAATTCTGAGCGCGTACAAAAATAAAATAATTGTCTTCGTTATCGTGGAACAAATTTGTGGAAAATTTTCGTTTTAGAGAAAATAACAAACGTTACGCTGATGAGTGATGAAAACAGTCACGCGCATGTTTCTATCGAGAATGTTTTCATTCAACAGAAACGTCTTGAGAGCGGCGCCGAAAATGTGTGACGTCACACAAATATCCGATATTCTTATGAACGCTAATTCCGATATTCGAATACATTCGAATTGGCCATCCCTGCGTGTGCGCGTATGCCTTAGATTTCATAAAGGAAGCAATGTCGCTGTTGTGGCAGTGGCTGTTTTAAATGAATCGGTGTCGTGTGGTCGCTCAATTGACAGTCGCTGAATTAATCGCTGTAGTGTGGCCTCTCTATTGACAGTCGCTATTTGGAACCCTAGCCCTGTCTAGCACTATTTAGGGTTTTTGCACAAGAATTGGAATCTGAGTGCTTATATAAAATGTCGTACCATTTACAAAAATATTGCTGTAAAAGCAAAATCTCAGATAGCTTCATCTTCCACCTGCACCACACGACATATAATGTCCAGATGTATTGTTAAAATGTAATGCAAAATTGAGTTGCATAATTACCGGCAGCTTAATCCTCCATTTTATATTTGTGCACACAAATTATTTGTCGACTTTAAAATTTTTCTTCCTAAAACCCCCAAAAAAACGCAAAGCACGGGTTGTGTGATGATGAAAGCTATACACGCGTCTGTTCGTGTCTATTGAAATTGAGTCACGCCTTAGTGATAGTAACCTTAGTAATAGTTACCGTCATTCCTGCAAATTAGTATTGGAAATTTGTTGTGCCCATTTTCTAGGGCATGTTCCCATGGCTAGGGCTGTCCAGGCGAAACGAATATTCGAAATCGAATCACAAACTATTCGGAGCATTTTTCGGCCAATTTAGGAATCGCTAAAATTTGGTACATAATGCGCCTCCCGACCACCAAGCAAACATGTTCTATCGCTTTCTTTGCTGTAAAAAGGTCTTTCCTATTGCCCGGTGACATGTAATTATTCACTTCATGCATGGTCATAAATGAAAATAATGGTAATAATGATTTAAAGATGACGTTTTTTGAGAGAAAACAAGGAGAAAAGGGCAAATTGAGTATCAGCAAAAAAACGCCAGTTCTATAAATAGCTGATTTATAGCTGTTGAGTCAGTAATCATAGGAACATGGTACAGGACTGAAACACGTCTTGGAGGTACCCTTTTTCAATGGAATTTGCAATTTCTTCTAATGACAATACTTTGTATCATCCCTTTATTACTATGACAAATAATTGCACTCTTGCGAATTGATTGCTGTTGTACAGCAATATGGTCATCAACTAATAATGTCATCAAACTAGCTCTGAATTTGTGAGTTCCCAAAATGCCATTTTAAATTTTTTGGGCAACAGTTATATCTATATTATTAATAGTTGTTTACCATTTTACTGAAAATTACACAAAAAATATCGACTTAATAATGCTAATAGGATTAAAATAGCAACTACGGGCAGTAAAAGAGTCTGCGCAATTTTCAACTCTTAACGCTTGATAGTTTTCGAAACCCTTATTTTTTGACCAGTTCAAGGAGGCTTGTAATCTCCTTTTATAACTCTGAAAACATAGTTATGCAAAATATTTGCAATAACATACATTATCACAATATTGAAGGAGGTTTTTATAGTACATTAAGGACAAATTTAGGATTGCGCAATAATATTTGATTATTCGGTTCGATTCGAGAAAAATATTCGATTCGAATCAAAAAAATACTCAATTTAGGACAGCCCTATCCCTGGCTACCACATTTTTGGGTTGTCCATATGCAAAGACATATATAATAATTGCTTTACCTTTGACTGAATCTTCACAAAAACATTAGCTGGCTCCTTAACTTCTTCAACTGTCAATGCATCTGTGTACATTTCATCACCTAAACAACATAATGCATTATCCTATCAATTTGAAATTATCGCATTGCCCCCGACACAACATGGCCATGGATTGCCACTGCAATGCTCGTGGCTCATGCGTTGTCAGGAAAGCCCATAACAAATACATACAATACTGAGATACCAGTAAGAAATGTCACAAAACTATCTTTTTCGCTCCAATAAAAGTACGCATCACATCTGACTATGGATTGCCTGCAGTCAGAGATGGCTAATTTCAAATATTGAAAATAAAATTAAGTAATAAGAACATTTATCAGCCTATGAAGGAATTTGCATACAATAAACAGTGTGATAACCTGGCTATTTACCAGACATTTTGGTACTTCCGTGAAGTATGTGAACCAAGATGGCGGACACCGGAACGTAGTATGTGTACCAGGTTAGGCCATCCTTTTATTCCAATTTTCCTTATTTTAGTTCCATTACGAGTTCGGGGAGTAGCCAAGTGACTCCCGTAGTATTTGTACCTGAAATTATGGCATAACCCTAACCTGGTACACATGCTACGTCCCGGTGTTCGCCATCTTGGTTCACATACTTCGAGCGTACCGACATTTTCTCTCCGCAGATTGTCATGATATTCTAAAGTAGTAAGCAAATTCATGCTTTCATTTTTTCGTAAGTAGGAATAAAAAATTACCGTATTTACTCGAAATTACGCCTATATCGCGAATAGGCCGACTCCCTAAAAACGGCAATTGTCAATTTGACGCCGTTGTGCCGGGCGTCAAAATTCATTTCCGCGACGCAGTGTGACGTCGTCTCGGAAGCGAGCGAAAAATGATCTACGTGAGGTTGACATAACTTTTGATGCAGTGAAAAATTTCAATATTTTTACGTAATTTTCAATTCAGAATATACGTTTTATGTAAATCTCGTATGACATATTGCGATCACTCTGATAAATTATATACATTGCTATCGCTCTCTACCGGATTATGGTATTTTGCCGATGAGAGCTTAAGTAGAAGTGAGGCTCTGCGCCTTTGGAATAGCAGGCAGTCATTTTTCGGCAATATTTCCGTTCTTTAACCAAAAAAATAAATATGCAACATTAAAAAAGTTAAGAATAGATGTATATATAACAGCGCTACCTTAATATTTTCGACGCCTTTTAGTCAAGATATGACCGTTTAAAATTTTTGTCCGAAGTTAGGCGCTTTCACGGTACCTGGTTTGGGTCTCATGTAGTTTCGTACCTAACATACTTCTAGTGGGCGTAGCATAACAATTTTTTCATGTGTCAATCCTAACCCCCATCCAAAAATTACGTCACTACGACATCACAATTATGTCATAGAGCATGCCAAATATACGTACGATCGCCCGAAATGGCATTGGCGCCTACGATAAAGAACTGACTGACGTTATCTCTCCTACTGGAATCGTTGCGACGAGAAAATACCTGTTCGATTTCGGGCGCTCGTTTGCGCGTCTTGGATGGCAGTTCGTATAGTTTGAAGGGCTCGTAATGACGTAATTTTTGGATGGTGTAGTCAGGTGGGAATTAGGATTGATACGTGAAAAAATTGTCAAGCTACGCCCACTAGAAGTATGTTTCGTACGGAACTACATGAGACCCCCTGATTTTAGGTCATCATGCAAAATTTTATCTACTTTATTTTATCTAGCCCTAACCCTAAAGCCAAATCAATTTGAACAATATCCATATGGAAAATGTTCTAAATTACAGTACCCAAAATGTGTCACCAGCAGGGGCAGACCTGCCATCACAGCCTAGGTTACATGCCTTGGTTTGTATTTTTTATTAGCTGACGTGGCACCCCAAATAAAAAAAAGGTGCCCCAACTCATTGCAGAATTTTTTTTTGCTTTGCGCTGTTTCCCTCTGTTTTGCGCTGTATTCAGTAAGTAGTAAGACCGCAATCTTTGGTACTGGATTAAACCAGACAGCCTGTTCCAACCAAACCCGAATTCAAACAGCAGGATTAAAGATAATTTTTTTATTCCATTTCTCGGTAAAAGTATTTCATAAGAATCAATTGCAATATGTGGACCAAAAGCTTGGGAGTTCCCTACCTAATGACAGCAAAAACTCAAAATCAAACTCAGAATTTTGTTCCAAACTTAAACAATATATATTATCATCATATTAGCAAATTTCTCTGCTTTGAACATGTAACTGTCTTGGAGATTAAAAAATTGAGATTATTTTTTTAAGGTGAATTCAACACTGAAAGGGAGAACTGTATATTATTGGATTGAAAGAGCTATCAGGAAACTGTCCACATTTTCAGTCACCATAAATCAGATGACAATTTCAATACCTCCACAGGATACTTCACCCGGATTCAATATGGAACAATGGACTGATTTAATAACTAGAACACCATTTTAATTTTATTACCATGCTTAATTAGACAAAGACAAAAGCACAGCAATTTAGGTTATAGATAGTAAAATACAATAGAACTTTAATGCAGCAAATAGTAGGGACAATGGTTTTTGTCCGAGTAGCACACGGTTCAATTTATTTCCACTGTTATCTATCACCAAATCAAACTTTTCCTCCCGTCCACCCCAGGATATCATATTATTCTATTATTTTATTTTTCCTTTGAAAATCCATGACATGGTAAAATGGCTTCTCTTTATAACTCATTATTCCCTATCACACTGTACTTTATACCTTTCTAATCTTCTGGTTGAAATGCAACCATAATAGGTTTTGTGGAAATGCTTCTTATTGATTTTTTTTTTGAAACTTCATCGCTTTTGGCTGAATCCAGAATTTGAAAAAACGTATGTATGTATGATTAATTTGATACATACATCACATTCCACTAAAACTTGTAGGGTCACATTTTTGCCAGAACAGCCATAGACTACTTATAACACTATTACCCCTGAAGTGTGCATACCACACCCTTTAAACTTGACCTTTCCCCCGTTTTATAGTATGTGGTATCATCACTCAAATGGCACCGGTATTGTACTATATTTACATGCAATGTGTTTCATGTTGTGTTGTGTCTCTATTTATAGATGTTGTTTTGTTACACAAACTCCTTTGTACAAACAGTTTTGTATACTCCACCCTAACCTCTGCTACCACACCCACCCACCCACCCTCCTTGCACAACTGTCACTAAAAAGGACCATATTATACATATTTAATTTACCTTATTATAATTTATACATATCAAAAGGGGTGTATGCCGCACATTCAAGTTTTAGGCCAGTATTGTCTTGTGCATACATACTGTCTCAAGTATTTATAATTACTAATTCTTTTATATTGCTTTTACGAGACGAATAAACATACATACAGTTGCACGGGCATAAGTGAAGGGACATAACTAGACCTACCATACGTCCCGGTTTGGCCGGGACAGTGCCGGTTTGGCCGGGACAGTGCCGGTTTGAACGTCTGTCCCGGCGTCCTGTCCCGGTTAGCAATATGTCCTGGAATTTTACTTTAGTGAAATTTTCAAAATTAGCTCCAACCTGATGCAAAATTATGAAATAATTCCGTCCCAAAAGGCATAACTTTGCTTTAACTTGCTGACTTGAGGCTTATTTTAATATCTTAATTTTTTTAGCTTATTAGGTTGAGTAAAATATCGGGGTCTCATGTAGTTTCGTACCTAACGTACTTCTAGTGGGCGTAGCTTGACAATTTTTTGATATGTCAATCCTAACCCCCATATGATTACGCCATCCAAAAATTAAATCACTACGACATCACAATCACGTCATAGAGCTTGCCAAATATACGCACGATCGACCGGAATGGCATTGGCGCCGACGATAAAGAACTGACTGACGTTATCGGTCTCTCTCCTATTGGAATCGTTGCGACGAGAAAACTAGAGAACTAACTGTTCGATTTCATGTGCTCGTTTGCGCGTCTTGGATGGCAGTTCGTATAGTTTGAAGGGCTCTATTACGTCACTGTGACGACGTAATGACGTAATTTTTGGATGGTGTAGTCCGGTGGGGGTTAGGATTGATACGTTAAAAAATTGTCATGCTACGCCCACTAGAAGTATGTTAGGTAAGAAAGTACATGAGACCCAAATATCGCACATAGCTTGAGAAATCTTTTAGTTAGGGAATAATGAGTGACGTTTATTGCGTCATTATTCTATTGACTTCAATGAAACTACAGCAATTGCTGCATTAGAAGCCATTTTAGGTATGCTCCAGACTGGATTCCATGGCAGATGCACGCCCGAGGGCGCTAGCGCTCCGCAAAAATGCACGCGAGCGAAATCAATTTTGCACGCCGAAAATTTGCAACTGCTCACCAATGTAAATCGGTTTAAATGGTTTTAAAATCAATAATCCAGTAATATAAAGATGCCAAAATATTATAACTCCACAATTGTCGACAAATACCAGCCTGCAAGATTAGGTCTGATCGAAATACTGAGAAGCAAAAAGACCATGGACCTTTCCCCAACCTTTGACCCGCGAAAAATTCCTCTCATTGTTACGTCCTTTTTTGCATCTTGCTGATTGGCCAATGTCACGAAGTAAACAAGGAAGTCGATGCTCGGGGAAAGGTCCATATCGTGTTGAATGATAGGAAATAGGAATCCCGTGAGAATAGTTATGGACGAAAAGATCGCCTCCGCACCAATGGCCAAGTACGGCTCTGATTCAGCGTATTTTTCATAGAATAATTTTACACGAATGTACTGAACAGTACCGGTATCTAAAGTTGCTCAAACACTCCCAAAATTAGTGACAAAGTATGAAAATAATGTTTGGGGTCAAAGGTCAAACGTCCATTTTGCTCTAATTTGACGTATTTTTTATCCATTAATTCTACGTAAAAACACTACCAAAATTAATGACAAAGTATGTCCATTTTGCTCTGGTTCAACGTATTTTTTATCCAATAATTTTACGCGGATGTACTGAACAGTACCGGTATCCAAAGTTGCACAAACACTATCAAAATTAGCGACAAACTGTAGAAATAATGTTTGGGGTCAAAGGTCAAACGTCCATTTTTTCTCTGATTCAACGTATTTTTTATCCGATACCGGTAATTTTACGCGGATGTATTGAGAGGTATCTGATGTCAAATATGGTACCGGTATGGATTAACCTATATTCAATGAATATAAATTGGACTATATATGATACAAAACTCCGGTAATGGTATGGTTTTATATTTTAATTGTTACATATATTATTGAACTTGTGGGCAATGTGTTTTGAAATTATGAAATTGTTTTAATTGGGTGCAAATTATACTAATTCGACAATAAAATTAATATACGAAAATTCCGTTTGGCATTGGAATTTATTTGGCAAAAAAAAAAAAAAAAAAAAAAGGTATCTGATGTCAAAGTCAGTTGCACGCGAGTGCAGTTGTTTTGCACGTCGTGAGCTATAATTGCACGCCAGGAATTCTTATTTGCACGCGGGAATTTCTGATTGCACGCCCGATTTCTCGTTCAAAAAGGCCATGAAATCCAGACTGGGGTACCGGTATGCTTGGAGTTGGAGAAGGCATAATAACTTTCATTTGATTTTGTTTAAGTCATATTATGCTGCAAGTAATCTAGAACTTGAGATTCTGTAGAGTAATGTAGTACAGTAGTACGGTAGGCTAACAGTACGGTGAATAGATTCTTTTCACATACTGACATGGACTATACCGTAAAACCGGCTAACTTCGGATGCCTTGTAACTTCGGATGAAATTTTCAATCATTCATATCTCAATTAAATTTCGTCGTATTGCGCTTCTGTCGGTTTCTATAGTAAGGCCTTACATATCTGAATCTGCCGTAGCCTCCAATCGCTCGATTTGATTTTTTATCATTCGAAAAATCATATTTTACCAAAAAAATGACACCGTTTTTTCGAGCGGCTCAAATCGTGACTTCTACAGACGCTACCTTCGTCAAATCACCGCCAAGCGCTAGAGAGCGTACACAATGTATACAAAAAAATACAGTGATCACAAGGTGTCGTACGAGATTCGAGTGAAATCGATTATTTTGATTTAAAAATTACATCAAAATATCGACGTTTTGATGATTACGTACAGCGTGACGTCAACGACGCAAATCCCGTTCTCTCTCTTCGTAGCCGACGTCACTTTGCGTAGCTCGTGCGTTACTCGCTGCGACATTTGAACGCCAGACATCGCGGCGCCCAGTTTTGTGAAATTTAAAAATTATGCTTATCCATGATCCTAGTCACTAAATCCTACAAAAACATCACTATCGTCTCAGTCATATGTTGTTTATTTAAAAATATGGCTATGCATACGCTTAATGCATATGAAATTTGTCGATTTTTGTTTTTGCATACTTCCTCCGACACCGATAGATACCGTAGCAATTGGTAATACGTTAGGCCTGAAACATGTATCTATACGATCATAATGATTAGATATGTCTGTTTATGATCGGCAGATGATAATAATATCTTTAACAGGTGAGCGTAGAACTCTACATACATGCACACAGCAGGAGGTTGGACCACATACAGGTGAGGCGCAAAATGAAAAAAAGTGGCAAAGTTTCTTTTTGCCGTTTTTATCCGTTCATTGTCATTTGACTTTATTAAGTGAAACGAAAGCGAGGATCGAAAGTCACACCGGGCAGGAACCTCTGCCGAGCCGATCAACGGGGAGCTCTGAGACAATCAGAAAATATGAAAAGTGATAATCAAGACGAAACCTGCTCTGCTTGTGGATTATGGAATGATCCAAATGGAAGTACGGAAATTGAGGATGAATGGGTCGGTTGCGAAAGCTGCAGCGAAACACATTGGTTCCACAAGAACTGTTGCAAAGACCCGTCTAACCCATGTGGAAATGATTACAATTCTTGATTTTGCCAGCGTTTCCTTCAATTCATCTGTTTATTTTTAACTGTCGAATTTTTGTTCATACCTTACTTGTTCCATATTGCTTTTTGATTTCAATTTTTACTTTTGCCAGTGTTTCATTCGATTCATCCGTTTATTTTTAATTGTCTAATTTTTGTTCATTCTTTACTTGTTCCATATTGCATTTCAATTTCAACCTACACCAGTGTTAGGTACTTTCAATTCTTCCGTTTTTTTTTTTGTTAATCCTTTTCTTGCATTGAAAATAAACGATCATAAAAGAACGAACTAGCATTTTGCAATAAATTAGGAGTAGTTAGTGAAATATATACGAGTTATAATAAAGGACACAAGAATAAATAGTTAAGCTTCGCGAAGCGGCAAGAGTAACGTCACGTAGTAACGTCACGTACAAACGTCAGTATTCAACACGCAAGACAGGTCGTGGCGGCGTAAGGTCTATTCAGCGACGTTGTCACGCGTCATTGCTTACGCAGACATTTCTCTCTCACGACGAGTTGACGCAAAGAGAAAAGTGGCCATCCGAAGTTAGATAATTTTAGAATAGACGAATAAAGACAATAATTTCAATGAAAAAAGGCTTTGATGGATATGGAACCGACTTTATCAAGACGAGAATAGCCACAATGTATTATATTCCAAATTTGGCTTCAGTTGAACAACATGCGGCGGAGATATTGTTCAAAATATAGTGAAATCATCCGAAGTTAGCCGGTTTTACGGTAAGCGCTAACTGAAGTCTGGAAGTAGTTTAGTTTCCTTCAAATAAAGTGATAAAATACTTCATTAGGCAATATTAAAGCTTATAAATATAAATATGGAATAAAAATTTGCCAAGCTCAGGCCTTCGGCCTTTCGCCCAGTAATTTCATTCATAGTTTTGAGTTTGTCCCGGATTATGTTCGGGAAATTATGGTAAGTCTAGTCATAACGGTATAATTAAATATTTAATAGAAAGTGAAGAAAAAAAATCCTCAACTTACCAGTAAGTATATCCTTAAAAACATACATCCCGAATGATTAATTCCGATTAAAATAACAAAATCCAACGAACAAAGAAATATAAGCAATCGAGGGAGAGCTCGGTTGAAAAGGATCGGTGAAACGTCAAACACAAATTATGCTGTTATATCCCATGCGCATAAAAGACAAAGTGTACGCATAAAATGCAAACACTGAATTGTTTTCGTTGTTTTGCGTGGTTTCATCGACAGTTGATTTCCTCGTTTATTGGACACGTTAGTGGACATAATAATCGTTTTGCATCATTGTTGGACACGTGTGTGGTAGTTGAATTGAACACGTGTAGTCGAATTGTCGATGACAGTCACTGTACCGACATTTGTACCCCGATTCAGCTGGTGTTAAGTTGACGCATGTTATTTAGTAACGTTTTTATGTGAAATGTTTGACTCTGGTTTGGTACCTGATCCGGCAATACGGTACATAATTGTCTCATATCACAAGATATTTCAATTGATGTTTCAATAAAATCAAGAATAATGGATCATTGTCACAGGATCCAAAATATCTATGACAGTCCCTGTACCGTCACGGTAACCCGATACAGGTACTGGTAAGTTACCGCATATGATTTTTGGGGATTTGTTCTGCGTGCCCATATATTTGAGCATTGCTCTCTTGTTGGACACTTTAGTGGACATAACGATCATTTCAATATTATGTTGTTGTTACTTTTCTTATTTTTCTTCGTCACCATCATTAATATAAAATCGCTTTTTTCTTCGAATACTGGACCAATTGCTTCGAAATTTTCAGTAGTTAAAGTTTTTTTTTTCGATTTTTTTTTTCAGAAGGCTATTACATTTATTTATTCCTAAATTTCTTACGAATCCTATCAGATCTGATATTTCATTCAAAATTTCGCTGTCCTAAAATTTACTCATGGGAACACTGTTTTAAACTTATTTCAGGCGGTTGCGTGATCGAGCTTGCAGGTACGGTACTGCTCAGTTACCGTATCACAGTGAAATTGACTTATTGGACACGTAGTGGACATAACGATCGTTTCAATATTATGTTGTTGTTGTTCTTGTTATCCTTGTTGTTGTTCTTGTTCTTTGACACGTTTTTAAAAAGTCGCTTTTCTCTTCGAATACTGGACCAATTGCTTTGAAATTTTCAGTGGTTGAAGATAAAATTTTTCTCCAGAAGGCTATTACTTTTTTTTTCGCTATGACGTCATCAAAATTATTGCCATTGGGTGGCGCTACGTGTCCATATATTTGAGCATAGCTCTCTTGTTCCTTTCGCGATCTTACTATTGCAGTAATGTCAAATGTAGGTTTTCTGTCAAATTTAACCTACCGTATATGTTAATTTTGATAAGAGCAAATTGAATCGATTTTTTATATGCCAGAGAAGAACCGTTCCACGATCGAATAGCAGGCCTACAGTAGCCTACAGGCAACAGGTACTGGTAAGGTACCGTACGGTACCTCTGTGAATTACGCTCTCTCTTTTCGTTACAGTTCTGATGTAAACAACATAAATCATTACCACAGGACATGGAAGAGTTATGACAGTCCCCGTACCGTTATTTGTACCCAAGTACTAGTAAGTCAGTTACCATAGCCATGTACCTGTTTCACTGTTCAGATTCGTGCAGTTTATCGTACCGAAGGCGTAGGGTATCTTATGGTTTTCGGTGAAGTGTTGATAATATATTTCGTTTTATTCAAAGTGTCCATATATTTGAGCATAGCTCTCTTGTTCTTGTTGTCTTCTTCTTCTTCATATCGTTTTGAAAAAAATCGCTTTGATTACTGGAACAATTGCTTTGGAATTTTCAGTGAGTGAAGATTATATTTTTCGCTAGAAGGCTATTATTTTCATTTATCGCTTTTTTGTGTGCCATGACCCCTTTAAAATTTGCCACTATGCGGCGCTACGCATTCATATATTCGAGCATGGCTCTCTTGTTGTTCTTGTTGGCCACGTCAGTGGACATAACGATCGTTTCAATATTATGTTGTTCTTGTTGCCTTGCTATCTTTGACACTTTTTGGACATCTGGTGGAAAATCTAAAAACCGCTTTTCTCTTTCATTACTGGACCGATTGCTTCGGAATTTTTACTGGTTAAAGATGAAATTTTCTCCAGAAGGCTATTACTTTTATTTATTTCAAATATTTCTGTTAGCTCTGTGAGATTTGTTTTTGTTTGCTAGGACGTCACTGAACGTTCGGCGGACGCATAGCCGACACTCCTCTTCTTTTTGATCACGTGACATCGAACGTCGATGGTTCGTAACGAAGTCCTTACGTTACTTTGCTACGATTTCTTCCTTACGCTGATCGACGGTACGGTAAACCGTACTGTACTGCGAACAGACGTGTTCATATATTTGGGCGTAGCTCTCTTGTTATTCTTATGTTCTTTGATACGTTTTTAAAAAGACATTTTTCTCTTTGATTACTGGACCAATTGCTTTGATATTTTTAGTAGTTAAAGATGAAATTTTTCTCTAGAAGACTATTACTTTTATTAATTTCTAATATTCCATTGAGCTTTATGCGATTCGTTTTTATTCTGAGCTATGACGTCATCAGAATTTGCCACCACGTGGCGATTCCGCAATCACATATTGATCACGTGAACAGGTTCCGTGGTCAAGCCTGCTGATAAGTTACCGTACCGTACCACAGTGAATTTCAGCGTAAAGTGTTCATATATTAGAGCATAGCTCTCTTGTTGGACACGTTTAGTGGACATAACGATCGTTTTGTTGTTATGTTGTTCTTTGATACTTTTTGAACACCTAGTGGAAATATTAAAAAACCGCTTTTCTCTTTGATCACTGGACCAATTGCTTTGAAATTTTTAGTGGTTAAAATTGAAATTTTTCTCCAGAAGGCTATTACTTTTATTTATTTCCAATATTTCTGTTAGCTCTGTGAGATTTGTTTTTGTTTGCTATGGCGTCACTGAACGTTCTGCGGACGCATATGCAGGCACACCTCTTTTTGATCACGTGACTGTGGTCTAGAAATTAGAGCAGGGGTCGGCAACCTACGGCCCGCGACGCTTCACTGAATTATAGTAACAAAACAGCTATTTTGACGATTATATTCTTCACGTTACACAATTCATTGTGAGAAGTATAAAATTCACAATTACTCGTTTAATAAGCCTATAATTTAATTATAATTGGGCAAAACGCAGAAAAGTTGATGCTAAGTGCAAATGGTTCGATAGCGCCGAAAATATTCAGATGGAATTTTTGAGATGTAATGAGGAAACAAAATCTATACTCTATTCTGAGAGATGTATCACTGCTTGATTTTTATTATAAAAAGTATCATCCGTTAAGTTTTCAACTTTCATAAAATATGTGCGGCCCGCCGAAGACTTGCAACCCCTAAATATGGCCCACGAGCGACAAAAGGTTGCCGACCCCTGCTCTAGAGGTACGGTAAACCATACTTCACTTGTTGTGAATATATTTGTAGACTGTGGTCTAAAGGTACAGTAAACAGGTACTGTACTGCTTCGCTTGGTGTGAATATATTTGTAGACTTTGGTCGAAATGCTTCGCTTGGTGTGAATATATTTGTAGACTTTGGTCGAAATGCTTCGCTTGGTGTGAATATATTTGTAGACTGTGGTATCTGCTGTTATAATACCGTGATAAATCAAATAATTTAGTTTTGCGAAAAAGAAGCGTCTGGCATTACAGGTAGGAGGAGAATAGGGGGTGCGCATTTCCAATAGCCTACGTCGATATTATGTTTGTCAATCAATTTGCAACCACCGTGTTTTTGTCTGTTTGATTGCTGTGATGTGGTGCTTTGTTTATAATTTGGCGAGTTTTGTTCGAATTAACCGTGTTCTTAAAATATATGACGGTCAGAAATGCAATTAGAAGCCCAATGTTTTTAATGATAGAGAAGTTCTGGTACCGTAACACAGCGCTGTGACACTGAACTAACTCGTAGCAGTCAAAAGCTTGAAAATCCATACAAATATAAGAGATAAAAATATGAAACTTGGCAGGTGGGTAGAGTTGTGTTTCTTTTAACTATCTTTGAAAGTTTCGCGTTTTTAGATTTGAACGAGGGGAAATAGGGAGGTGCGCATTTCCAATACGTCGATAATATCTTTGTCAACCAATTTGCGACCACAGTGATTTGTCTGTTTGATTGTTGTGATGTGGTGCTTTGTTTATACAGGTACTGGTAAGTCACCGCATATGATTTTTGGGGAATTGTTCTGCGTGTCAATATATTTGAGCATTGCTCTCTTGTTCTTATTTGTATTTTTCTTGGTATCGTTATGAAAAAATCGCTTTTCTCATCGATTACTGAACCATTTTCTTTGAAATTTTCAGTGAGTAAAGATTATATTTTTTGCTAAAAAGGCTATTACTTTTATTTATTCCTAAATTTCGTATGAAATCTGATATTTCGTCCAAAATTCGTTGCACTATTTAATCCATGGGAACACTGGCTGTCCGGTTTGATTCTTTAAATTCTTGCTACGCAAAACTCGGAAATTTTTTGAGAGAGATTTCAAACTCTTTTATAGCCAATTTTGGCAGGAAATTCCCAAAACGTTTGAGAACGCGCGCCCAGCACATGGCCATGTTATGTAAGATAATCACCAGACAGGCATTGTGACAAACAAGGGGATTCTGGAACATATATTGTGACATCACAAAGCGATAGAGTTTTAAAAACACTACGGAGATGCCTATACGAAAAAGGGTGATGAGTATCGTAGATTTCAACTTGGGCTGCATGTGAGCAACCGTTCAAGGCCCGCAGCGATTACATGCAGCATCAGAAATCACATTAAATGTATATTGACATTGTATGTGTTGACTTTTGAGTAAACATTTCAGGCCTGATTAAGTGAAGAAATGTTATATGGCTCGCACGGAAATGAAATTGAAAATATGTATATTTTATGGCTCTCTTGACCAAAAAGGTACCCGACCCCTGATTTAGTGCTTGTGATCCTTGTTTATTTTGAGTTCTGCACAACGACCCCGATAAGAGAGAGGTCGCTGACGTATTGAGTTTGTTGACATACTCGTAGGCGCCATTACGCGTGACCGTCGCTATACTTTGGCAAGCTGTATTTCGTTAATGTGACGTCGCAGGGACGTAATTTTTGG